CAGTTGAATGAGTACCAGGCCTAATTCCTGTACTAGGAGCATTTAAATAAAAATAAAAGTAATTTTTTTTTGCTGAATATATAACTGCAGCTTTTTGGTATTTTTATAGCTTCCTGGAGTTAAATATTTTTAAGGCAGGTATATTAGTAGAAGACCAACCTCCACCCGTTTCACCTATATTATTATAATTTATCAAAGCAGTTAATCAAATTATTTAACTTATGGCCCATAGAAGCAACAATCCAGCACACAAATGGAGCAGCTAAACCCTGCAACCAGGAAGAAGGCCTTTAACATGAAACAAGTCTGTTAGGATTATTTTAAATATGACAGCCAAAGCCCAGCCCTTGTGGTATCTTCTATCACCCAGCCACATGTGCAAAGCGCAATAAAAGTAGCCTAAAACGGCACATAATAAAGTGTTATCTAGGCCACACCTCCTTTTCTCCAGCAAGGCCACACCCACTGCCCATGAGAAGCAACTCAGCCACACCAATGAGAGTTCCACCATGTGATTATTCATTATTTGATTAAAAGAAAGAGAAAGATTATAAATAAATTTAGTTGACATTAAAGCGACAAAGAAGTTGCTGGAAACAAGAAAACAATTAGTTTGGTATTTTTGATTTAATCTCCAGGTAGGGAACGAGGGTTTATCTGGACATAGGTGACGTTAGTCAACATAAATCCTTGGATTACATACCTTACTGTACCACACAACTCTTTGTTTTATGAGTGCCAGAATCAACTCCCATCTCTGTTCATTGAGAGAGAAAATGCAATGTTGCTTTTGATACAATTGCTTATGGCTTTTAGGAGAACCACATTGGCATCATACTCTTTCATTCATATGGCAAATACAAAAACTATGTATGACTGTATGTATGGTAGACTAAGACTTTTAGAGGCCACTGGTAAAAATATATTAAATGGAAAACAAGAAATGCATAATATTATATTTCTAATCGTAATTTATTACAAATTTTAGATTCACCGATTTCAGCACAATACAGGGATTGATACTCTGCCAGGTCTTCACCATTGTTTCCTGCAGGAAGGTCTCACTCATCCTCACTCTAGTAGGCTTAAAGGAAACCTTTCTTTAAAAAAACATGGAGGTGGCCAAAGTCAGAGTAGTTTGTCCTTTGTTGGAGCCCTTTGAGAAAGTTGTTAGGACAAAAATGTTAGTGTCACCTTGTACAGCAACCTGATGTGAGGTCAGCTCTCAGGACAGAAGTAACAAGTCGGATCTCTTGGTAGCGAAGCCAGGTGAGATGCCAACTTGTCGGCATGTTGGTGGGTGTGAAGTTTATTTGTGGATTTCTACCTACACAAGTCACGAGTGTTATTTGGACTTTTTTTGATTTATACATGGACACTTCAGTTATGTATTTTATTGTTGGATGCACTTCATTGTGAAATTGCATTTTACTAGATCTAAGATCACAGTGCTACCTCACCTTAGATCTATGATTCAAGTTGGATTAAGATATAGATGTGATTTTTTGAGGTTAATATTTTGAGTTGGTATCACAGAACTAATGAGCAGTTAAGGACTCGTGATGTTAAACTCCATACTTGTTCTGGGTCAATGACTCACCAAGTTCTGAAGCCAGAGGGTCAGTATAGAAACTATGCATCTAGCATTATCAGGAGGGGTCACAATGGCAGCCTCCATATGTTTCTATGAAAGGTTTACATTAAAGCTACTTCTGTCTTTGAACTTGAATTATTCATATGTTTCTACACGTTGTATCAAGGATATAATAAAAAGGTGAGGATGCAGTACTTCAGTGCCTCACATGGTATGGAAGATGATTCTCAGCTAGTTATGGCCATGTCTGGAGGGATACCAGGGAGCTGTAAAGGCTCCAGAGTTATCAAACTATGTCATGCACCATATGTTAGTCTTGCTTCACTAAATTATAGCATGCATGTTCATTAGCATAATTTTCATCTCTCTGAGCTTTTTCAGTGAAAAAAAAAAATCTATAAACATTAAACTTAATAGAATAAACTATGTTGCAACTCTATTGCATACGTTACTCTATGAAGAAACATTTTTTTCTCTAAACAGCAACTTATACAATAGGGTTTAAATAGTGTTAGTTTATTTTATTAGTTTCATATTGTTATTATTCATGGATTTTTATAGGAATGTTTGTCTCTATAAAGAATATGAACCAACTTAAAAAATTTCTATTGCTGCTTGATAAATAATATGGTAAGCTGGTATATGCAAAAACACATTTTTATGGGCCAGATATAATATTACTATAGTACTGTGTATTCATGTCTTGTAAATATTTTTGTTGAATTGATAATTTGCTGTATATGTAATAGGTGTGGATCCGGAAGATGCTCTTCATTCGTGAAACGTGTTGATCCCAAACTTCACAAAGGAGATAAAGGCATAGACTAAATTAATTTGTATCCATTTCTGTATATGATCCATACGAGGTCATTTTTAACGTATTTATATTTTTTTAATTGTATAATAAAGACTCCAAAGACATGCCGGTAGGTGAACTGGCTCCTGTCTAAATTTGCACTAGTATGTTTGTGTATGAATGTAAGTTATGGACCTTAGATTGTACGCCCCTTGAGAGTTAGGGACTGATGTGAATGCACAATATATATATGTAAAGCGCTGCGTAAATTGACAGCACTATATAAGTACCTGAAATAGATAAATAAATCGTGGAAGTTTATTTATGCTCTATATTTACCCCCCATGCTATATGGGTGAGAGGTGTTTTATTTGTCCTTAATTTGAGGAATGGTTCCCATAGGACATACAGGATGAACCCACCATTTTTTAATTTCTAAATATTATGCTCATCTGCATATTTATGGCAGTTATACTATTATTCCTTCTTTTAGAATTGTTTTCTACAGCTTTTTTACATGTAGTATTAGGTTAATAGCTTTTCTTGAAGTATATATAACCAACTTTTATGTATTTTCATCTTACATTATCCACTGCCAAACGTTTATGCATACATGATGCCCATAAAATGTGTTGCCTACTCCTGTGACAAAAAAAATAAACTAAACCTTATAAAAACTTAGTTAACACTTTCACTTCTTGACCGTATTTTCTGCTCTGTAGCCTGTACACATGCAGATTTCCAAACAAGTTGTAAAAGCTCTCTTGGAGATAATGAGCACCTCTGACCAGGACAGCATTTCTAAAGAAAAAACTGTTCTTGTGCCTGATGGTAATTCCAGCCTTGCTTCCGATCACTGGTAATACTCTATCACATACTGGCAGACTGCAGCCAGGCTTTCCATTAGAGAGAATTAAGTCTTCAAAGTGACTGAAGAATTTTGAAGACTTCAGCAGAAAAACTGTGTGAACATGGGCAGGCCAGACAGTGCAGATAGCTCAATAAATGAACAAGCACACTGGGGTAGGGGAAGTAAATCTCTGCAATAAAAGCGCATTTGTCTTTTACTGATGTCTTTGAATTCATGCAAAATCTTTATATTTATCATCCTTTGGATTTCAGCTTTATTGTTAGTGTATATGTCAAATAGCTATTGCAGCATGACAGTATGACCAGGAACCATTCCCTCCTTTAGAGACATACAGTAGAGCATGAGTGTAAATATTTTTGAGGATTTTACATGAATTATGGAAACCCTGGCGTATACTGGATATAGTGATATATATTTTTTTGTTTTATGCTTCTGGACTTTCAAAATAAACCATGATTATATCAAGTCATATAAAAACCACGGTGTACAAAAATGTGGGGGCCCCTACATAACCCATATCTCCCTTAACTCCCCAGAAATCCAACTCTGCCTTTAGCTTACCTTATGATGTTCTCTTACATATACTGCATCATTTTGCACGACAATTGAACATAACCCATTCTTTCTCTTGCATTTGATTTCGCTATTACATGTAGGTCCAATGTTAGTGTTATTATCATGCATTCTATCTATATCCTCTTATATAAAAATGCTATGATTTATTTTGTACCATTTTCTTTATTATTGTTCAGATAGTATACTAAATTCCTTTCATGTGTCCTCATTTGTATGTTGGTATTTCAAAACTGTTACTGTCCTCACCATCCTTGTTTTATTTAAGCCTTTCAAAGATGTCGCTGCTTTGGGGGAGATTTACTAAAACTGGAGCAATCAGAATCTGGTACAGCGGTGCATGGCAGTCAATCGGCTTCTAAATTTAGCTTGTTCAATGAAACTTTGACAATAAAACTTGGAAGCTGCTTTTTTTCACCATGCAATTTTAGTAAATAACCGCCTTTGTTATTCACCAGCTTATTGTCTATTCACATATTATGGTTCTGTATATCCGCTTATTAAAAATATATGGAAAAACAGTGTACAGCATTATTTTGGTTTCATAAATGGATAGAATACCAATGTACATATGGTGATATTATGAAGGGTTTTACTTTGCACTTAGCACTTTAAAATTGATCTGGTCAAATCTTGTGCAGCTCTAAATTGGTTGCCAGGGTTTACTGAAGTTTTCACTTAACCCCTCCTCATTGAATAATGTGTATGTGATTCTGTAACATTATATCCAGATATAAATAAATATCAATTATAGGAAATGTGTTTGGAGCAACAAAGTGAAAATACATTTTGGCCCTTGTGGTATGACCCTCCTCCCAGGATCTACAACTTTGTGGTTCTGTTTTTAGCTGTGAGTATAAGCAATCGTTCCACTGAACATACTAAAACAGCAGCTGTACCCCCCCCCCCCCCCTTAAAGATAGCAGAAGTAGTTAGAGGAGGTCACCAAACTTCCCTGGATCTACATAGCAGTGTTCCAAAAGAAAGTATTCATTGTAAGAACTCAAAGGGGATATTTACAGCATTTGTAGCTCCTGAAAAAGTCCCCTCAAGAAGTACTAAACCCAACACTTCTGTAGTAACTAATTTGAAATGCTCATTTAAATGTACTGCTGTATGATAATAGGGTGATATACAATCTAGAGATGTATATATAGGAAATTACCTTCACTGCTTTTGGAGTTCCTTTTTTTCTTTTTGTTCTTGGAAGAGCCTTTTTTGACTTTGCAATCATCAGAAGTTTGGACATGAGTGGCCGATTCTGAAGATTTGTTTACAGAGTCATCAGTTAACAGGTTTTCTTTAGTTTGGGAGACAATGTCTAGTGAATCATTTGTGGAAGCATCGGGAGAACCATTGTTATGAACTTGTGTCCCATTTGTCTGATCTGGTGAGGGAACACCAGAAGGTCCATTCTTTTCATTAGAACAGACATTTGTGTTTGCATTGTTAAGTGATAGTGTGGGAATGTTGGCAGTATCTTCATCCTGAGCTGGTGGGGAAACCTCAACACTGTCATCCTTCTCATTGGCTGAGCCCACTTCAGTCATGCTAACCTCCTCAGCTAAATGTGAATTAAGAAACACATTCCCATTGTTCTCTTCCTCCAAAGAACTTGGTGATTGGTCCTGAGTTGGCAACATACCATCAGCCACCAATTTATCTTCCATAGAAGGCACATCAGCTGAATTATTGTTTGAAGGGCCATCAACCACTGAAGTTGGCCATCCAAAAGAAGTGTTAACTGAAGAATCTATTTGATCATGTGAAAGTCCTTTATTACACATGTCTGTTTCTGCACTCTGGATGTTGTTATTCCGAACATCTATGTTTTTGGAGTCCACTTCATCTGATTGGCAATGACTTGTCTCAGATGCACAAGCACTTTCAGGAGATAGAACATCGGTTTGCGTAGGTTTCTGAGAATTCAGTGTTGCATCTTCATGGCATCTAACAGTACTTGTATTCTTTGGGATAACAGCTTCACAAGACTGAACTTGTACACTGCCTGGAAGACTTTCTTTTTCCAGTTCAGCATCATTAGTGAGATCTGTGGCTGGACCCAAGACAACACTCTGTATGTCATCTGTGTTCTCTAAGCAACTTTTAGTGTCTTGGTTTGGAGGACATAAAGGCTCTTCTACCTTGACATGGCCCTTTGGTTCAACATCACATGCAATATTTTTGTCCTCAGATTTATCAGTTGGCAAAGAAGATTTAGAGACACCTTCAACAACTGATGTGGAGGGACTATCATTAGTGGTCTCTTTTGCATCCCCATTCGATAATAGCACAGGTTTGCCTTTGTAAAAACAAGACCAGACATTTTTAGTGGATTCATATAACACTAGTAAGCAGCTCACATAAATATGCAGCACCAAGCAATTAGTTGTACTTGCCACTGGGCATGCAATAAAATTAGGAAAAGCATTTTAGAAGCAGGAAATCAAGCAGGTTAGTTTATTTCCTGGCATGCAGAGATCCAGACAAGATATTTACATCATATCAAGGACAGACAGCATAGGAAAATCAATTTTATTTTTTAGCATGCAATTGAGAAATTATTTTTTTCAGTAAATTAAAACAGAGAAACTCATATTGCATATCATAATTATCATAATCTGAAATGTAATCTTATTTACAAAATAAATATGACTATTCTAACCAATACCACCAATCTTTTTTTTTTAACAAAATAATAATTTTTATCCCAACTCCTATACCATCTATTTACCAGTTTTATTTCTGTACAAAATGAGAGGTCAACACATTTGAAAAAAAAAAAAACATTTCTCTAAAGTTGAATGGTCTGATGTATATGAAAAATTGTAAGGTGTACTACTCACAAAAATGGAAGTTGCGATCTTGTGGGCTGTCCAAATACTCAGCCGTTATAGGGACAAGGAATGCATGACATCACTGAAGCGCAATACTGATGACCAGCTTCAGAGACTGAATACTTCAGACTGCTTCTTTCTTACAGGAATCTAATGTCACTTTTTTATGTGTCACATAATGGGTCTCATTCACAAATTTTTTTTTTTTAACTTCTTATGTCAATTCCAAAGTCTTTTCTTTGCAATAGGCTAATTGGTCACATATCACCCCCCCCCCCCCCCCAGTGAGCAAAAGCAAAGAGGGAAGGCTTGCACAGAATGCATATTAGACTGAAGGGCTATTAAGCCCATAATTAATATTTTGGGTAACTTGGTGCGGTGTCCAGTTATTTGCTAGATCTTCACTGCTGTCTGAAATCCAAAGCAGAGAATTAAATCTTATTCCTTGCATTACCATACAATATGGCGCTTCAATTTCGAGGAAAGCTATGTAGGTCAACGACCAGCAAGTTCTCTTTTAGTTCCTTTGATGTAGCCACTGGAAAGGCACATGCTACAGTATTTATGCTGGGTTCTCCTTGAGAATATATATGGAGACTTCACTTGGGCCAATCACAACTGTAGTTTAGTTGAAAAGGCAGACATTGACTTGCTATAGCTATCCAAGGGTTAATGGATACATTTTTACAGCTATGGCCGCAGGCAACATTTTAAGCCCTGTCGGAAGATAAAACCCTTCCCCAATCCTCCAAAATTGGAGAAAGCTCCTTTGGGTGGGCTGGCCTTTAAATAAGACTATGCTAATTTGTGCATTTAAGTGCTTTTCTCATGTTACATTTTCCTTCTCGATGAAAGCAATAACCAACCTGCTTGTAGGATTAATTTTTGTATATAGTTTTATCAATGGCGCTAGCACCCAACCAGGGCCTTAAGGTTTTGGCACTCACCCACAGTACTGTATATGGACAGAGCACCCTAGAATTCTTGGCTACTACTAAAACATTATTTAAATGAAAACATTTTCCTCCTACTGCTTTTGTCATTGTGTCAATACTGCAAAATTTTATCCCTGTATCTCAATTATTAGCAAGAAACAAAAATCATGATACGTAAAACAATGCACATGCAGCGCCTACAAACTTTGCAAGCAAGCAGGCAATTTTTTTTTTCAAAGATTGTAAAAGCAGCGGCATGCAAACAAGCTCAGAAACATCTAGTCCAGAAAAGCCTGCAGGAAAGCCACTAGTCTTTGTTCAGCGGAAGGTTTGGGAGGTGTGATCTCCTGGGTGATACAGCAGATCTCATACCTAATTCTGTAGGAGGTTTTGTTCTTAAATCATTTGTAGAAGCTTTGAGGGCACCATCAGATTCTGGCTTGCTTTTGGCAGTCTTGCGTAGCTGGAAACCTTTTTTGATATCTGCCAGCAAAGCGTCGATAATGCAGCCTTCTTCCAACTTTGCAGCACCTTTCCGAACTAGACAGTGCAAAAAATAATTAAAAAAAAAAGAAAACATGTTTATATCACAATGCACCAATATAATCAGTTAACACAATTTATATGTGAAGGGGAAAAGTAAAGAATACAGATACTGGGAGGGGAAATGTGTGTGTGCGCGCGCTCAGAGGGGAAATTTGAAGAGTAGAGGATTTGTACTAGGATAGGGGTACATAGATTTATGCAGTGTTGGGGATTGCAATGGGGAAGTGGAATTTTTACTGGGAAGAGGGGGAGGTTTTTGTTTAGGAGAATGTTGACTTTCAAAAGGAATGTATGCTTAGGGGGCAAGCTTGCAGATTAGTGCTTGAAGAGGGGGAGGGGGCAATTTTTGCTGGCACACACACAATGCTCATACATCTTGGGGTGGGAATTTGGCATCTTTGCCCTGGGCGCTGGATGGCCTTGTCCCGACACTGAGCTCACGTGCTGTGGGCTGCAGTTTGAAGTGTCATTGCAGCTAGCTTGTCCTTTTGTGTAAAGGAGACAGCACAACTTCCTTTTTGGGTCACACGACGTCCAATGAATGCCTCCCCATCCCTTCCATAGTGCACCATAAATGTGAGAGTGCTAATGTGATGAACCACATCTCCCAGCAGCATATAAATTAACTCTGTGTCTCCGTAAATGCTCTGCCTGCTTGTCTCTGTGTCAGATCTAATTACTGTGGGGCTCCCACTTGCACAAGCACTAGGCTTAAGAGACCCAGGCATTGTGGGATATGTAGTTTCTTCACAAAAAAGTGTCCATTCCTAGACCATGTCCTTCCTCAGGTTGGCACCACCGTCTACGGTGGCCCAGCCTGAGGAAGGACGTGGCCTGAAAGCCTGTGCTAGAGGGACATCATTTTGGCATTGTGTATGATCGATATCTATTTTGAAGAAATAAAACATAAAATTGGAAGTACAGGAGTGTGGCAGCCTTTGGATGTTTTAGCACCCAAGGGTGTGCATCTAGCAGCTCACCTTGCTTGGATTTGTGGGGGGAAAAAAAAAAAAAAAAAAATATTATATATATATATATATATATATATATATATATATATATATATACACACACACACACACACACACACACACACACACACACACACACACACACACACACACACACACACACACCTCATCTTTTTGGTAAATGGCCACAATGACATGAATACATTGCTTAGACAAAGTTCTATTAGTATAACTCACTAATTTTTCCATTTTCACCCTTTTGTCGCTTGGCTTCTTCCTCTTCCAGTTGCTTTTTCCTCTTTTCAGCCTTGGCTGCCTGCTCCTTTCTATCTTTATTGTCCTACAATGAAAATATATTTAGGTGGTCATGCAATTATATGCAGGTAAGAATACTAGAAGCAGTGGCAATTTACAATAAACAGCACAAGGGAACTTCGAGGCCTGCAATGCAAACCCAGTTCCTGGCAACTGATTGTAGCACACCAATGCAGACACCTACCTCATGGCAGACCTTATCTGGTATCACAACATACCAGTAAAGGCCAGTGTGCTGTGGGACAGGAGGCTGAAGCAATGGGTACCCAGGGTAAGGTGATTTGGAAACTCCAGCAGCAGGACATGAGTTTAAGATAAGTCCATTTTTCTATGGTCTAATACAGCAAAAAAATTAATAAAAGGAAGCTTTATATCGTTTAGATTGTAAGCTCCAAGGAGCAGGGCCTTCCTAACCCTCTTGTATTATTATTATACAGGATTTATATAGCACCAAAAGTTTGCTCAGCACTTTACAATATAACGGGAGACAATACAGCAACAATACAGTTCAATACAAGAGGGATAGGAGGGCCCTGCTCTTTGGAGCTTACAATCTAGGAGGAAGGGGCCCTCCTATCACTCTTGTATTGAACTCTATTGTTGCTGTATTGTCTCCCGTTATAATGTAAAGCGCTGAGCAAACTGTTGGTGCTATATAAATCCTGTATAATAATATTAATAATATTCATATAAAAGGTTGTGCAGGCAAATATATAAAACTCTCCCTTGGAATGTTCAGAGTTAACATTATTAGAGATTCTCATTTTATTTATCATTACCCTTTTTTTTGCTGTTTATACACCACTCTTAATGCATCAGTCACCAAGCTCTTGTCCTGCATGCTGTATTTTTTTTTAGTAGGACTCACTGATCGTTCCATTTTCATACATCTAATATTTGTTGCATTGTCCAATTCAGCTGTAAACAGCCATACTGGATGTGGGCCAGTTTATGAAACTGCAAGATATTTGAGCTGCAGAAAGCAGTAGTGAGCCTTAACCTGTAGTTCCTTTTTTGCAGAACTTTTACCTTTCTAGTGGTTTCCTTGGAGCAGGCATATACAGAACTGCAAGCTATTCTGAGTTGTTTTGGAGACAGACTAAGATGAGGTGCATTACCATACAATGCACCACCAATGCCTTAAGCTCTTCAAACAGTGCGTGTGTACAGCATGACTGAGATCTGCCAGCACAGTACAGCCAGAATTAACTATGGTAACATAACTCCCCAGTCCTGAGAGGAAGCGTGATCACAAAAGAGCCAATCTATTCATATGCTGACATAAAGCATTTTGATAGAAGGAAAGTAACAGGGATATGAGCTTTTCACTCTGCTTCTACTTTCACTGTCCAGTAACAGGCTGGGGCAGGGTCCAGGAAGACCTGGGCTCACTAGAAATGTGTTGAATGTTACTGGTCATCACAATCAAGTCATCTAGTTGCAGAAAAAATGCAACATATGACAGGGCTCTGAATGGGAAGTGAAAATGAGCTTTTAACCCTTTGAGGACCATAAGATTACGGAACAAATCAATTTTTTGTTTTTAAAGTTCGTACACTTCAGTTGCTGTAACTAAGCCATTTCATGTTTTGCATTGTATTGGTATTGTTCTGTCACATGTTCTGTCCCCCTTTGTAATGTACAGCGCTGAGCGAACTATTGGCGCTTTATAAATACTGTATAATAATAATAATAATGATAATATAATTGGCAAAAAGCTAGATCCATTTGTTAAGAACTAATATTTTGACTCAAACTAAAAAAAAAAAAAAAAAAAAAAAAAAGTATTTTAGGTTACTCAGATAATACAGGCAATTAAAAACATGGGACAAATACGACCCTTGGTCCTCAAAAGGGGCTTTTCATTTTAACTGCTTGCCGACCCACCATAGTACATATACTGCGGTTGGGAGGCTCATTCAGGCACAGTAACGTACCTGTGCATTGCGGCTGTTTTCCGGACCGCTGGCTCTTCTGTGATTGGACAGAACAGGGCTTAGTCAGCCGGTCCCAGGCCAATTATTCATGGGACCTGCTGATTGGCTGTGTACTGTCACAGCCCAGAGCCCTCTGTTGACAAACGATACAGGGCTCTGTACAGAGGGAACGATCTCTGTGTTTCTTCTGCCTGCAAAACAGGCAGAAGAAACAAAGCGATCTTTAGTAAAAAGCAGCACACAGAGCACACATTAACCCCTTGATTATCCCAAGATGTTAACCCCTTCCCAGCCAGTGTCATTAGTACAGTGACAGTGTCTAGTATTAGCACTGATCACTGTATTAGTCTCACTGGTGTCTGTTAGTCAGTTCCCATGAAGTGCCAGTTAGTGTCAGACTGCCCGCTACACTAACACAGTCCCACCAAAAGTCACTGATCTCCGTCATTAGTAAAAAAAAATCAAATTCCATAATACCATAGTTTATAGACACTAAATCTTTCAAACAAACCAAAGGATAAACACTTAGTAGATTTTTTTTTTTAACCAAAGATAGAATAGCCCAAAGCAACAGAATAGAATTTATGATGAAATTTATTTTTTTTACATGTTCTATAGCAGAAAGTAAACAATATTGTTTTTTCCCCCCAAATGTTTTGGTCTTTTTATAGAATAAAAAATCCTGGTGGTGATTAAATACCACCAAAAGAAAGCTCTATTTGTGTGGAAAAAATATATACAATTAAGTTGGGTAAAGTGTTGCATGACTGTGCAATTGCCAGGTAAAGTAGTGCAGTACTGAATAGCAAACAAAAATGCTCTGGTCAGGAAGGGGGTAAATTCTTCTAGAGCTTGAGTGGTTTAATATTGTTATTTTTGGATGGAGTTCTGCTTTAAGGATTTATTAATGAACACAGAGCTGCATTATGTTATGTATTTTATAGCTGCCTATAACTGTGAGATCAGACTACATGCAGCTGGTTTAATATGAGTTTAAGGCTCCTTTCACACAAAGGGTCTGATCAGGTCGGCCTGTCAATTTTTCAGGTGGACCGGATTGGACACTCCATTCTCCCTTATGGACCAACAGGTCTAAACGGACTTGAAGGAAAAACAGAAGGGGATCCATCCTTCTCTGTTTAGGTGGATCAGATGGCAGCAGAGCCCATTTACACTCAATTGCCCATAGAGCAAAGTGGGCTCTGTCTGTGTTCACTATGCATAAACTGAATGGACACGGACCGGTCATCGGCCCGCTCTGCTCATATCAGCAGGGGATCATTAGACAGATCCTCTGCTGATCACAATGTAGTTCGCACCCCGTGTGAAAGGGGCCCAACTCCTTATCAGTGCACCTCAGCAAAATGCTGTATAATGATGTGTAGAAAAGAAAGGACTAAATGCTTGATGCATCAGCATTATACTGAACACTCAATGTTAATATTGTGTACTTGGCCACTATATGATTTATCAACAGTGATGTTTGGGTTAGTTACCTCATTATAGAACATTGGATTAGTAAAGTGTATCTAAATCTAAAAATGTATAGCTTTGACTAGAGTGGTTAGGGGGGTTGGAACCCGTCAGGTTTTTATTGTTGTTTGTGTCCCTGTTAAAGAGTTACACCCAATTTGTCCTGGTGGACACTATCCCCTGGACTAAAAGTAGCGTCAAATCCAAAATTTTGGGTTGTCACCAAAACATAAAGGAGGGGAAATGTTCCAGTTGGGAAACCCATTATGGTGGCAATTATCAGTTTTCTCTTTAATCATTGAGAAGAGCGAAAGCCAAGAAAAAAGTCACCTTAGCGGCGAGAGTGAGTGACTAAGTAGCAGGTAGAATATATACAAAACATCCTAGATGAGTTTAATACCTTTTTTGCTTTTAGGAAGAGATCCCGAAATGTTTTCATGGTACTGAATGTTTCCTCCAGAGATAGTTTGGTTGCATCTTCACATAAGTAATCAGCCAGCTTCTTTCTTCTTCTGGGAGATGTTCTCCAACTGTTCCTCAAGCTCCTTCAGAGTATCAACACAATCCTACAGGCCAGAAGACAACGTTTTCCATCAAAAAGTTCTATTGTATCTACAATATGTCTTTTCGGCAAGCTGATGCCCATTTTCCGTTGCTGGAACCACTTAAGAGTGTTAGCTGGAGATGGTTTTCAAACTACAGGCCCATCTAAGGTTAAACTCATATGGCTGTGAGCAGTTTTCTGCATTCAGAGGCAGCGGCCACAGAACACACTGTGCTATGGCTGCACACAAACTGGTTGATAGACTGCTGCCAGCTTGTGTGCAGCCAATACTCTGCAGAAATGGTGACAGCCAGGGATGCGCATTGGCTGTGTCAAGGGTCAGTTAAAGGCTCTTTCACAGGTAACCACTCAGATAAACAGTTACATGCAAACAGTTGTGGCATGGATCACAAATCGGACAGCTGATGATATTTGCAGACAGTGGGTGCAGGCAGTGTTTAGAACCATCAGAATCTAATGGCTGTTGCTGATGGCCACCCATGGCCACCGCTGTGCATCTATGTGAACATAGCCGAAGACTATCTTGTCCACAGGGTAGCCTAAGACTATCTTGTCCACAGGGTAGCAGAAGAAGTGCTAAAAAAGTGGAAAAAAAACATGATCTACTGGCAGGGTCAACAAGTAAATAATAGTGTAATAGGTAAACTCAGAAAAACAAAATTGATGTATGACCTCTTGTCATTGCTTGACATTTTAGTCCCAGTACAGGTGCACAGGAAACATGTCCACTCCTGATTTTAGTTAAAGTGCACTCCATTATGCAAATACAGACTTCAGCTCCTTAAGTCAAGCATACTACCTCCTACACCTAATATTGGCCTATAACTAAAATGGGCAAACTCAATGACCAACAGTAAGGTGTCTGCATTTGGGTTTTGAGGCTCCCAGGGAGATCTAAGCTATATGCAGATCCCTTTTTTGTGTCTGAATTAATTTCCTGAGACCTAAGAGCCTAAAATTATTACTTGAAATTTAGAAATGTATTACATCAGCAGTGGGGGTCTGCACCAGAGGGGCATGGCACATCATATGACAAGGCATTGATGCAAGATATTTTAGAAAGGAAAGCTACATCCACCTTTGTCCATGTCACACTATCATAATGCTTGACAACCAAACATACAATAATCACTTGAATGTCTTTTTTTTTTTTAATTGAAGCTGACAAAAGGCAAGTAGCTTTTTTCCCTTCCATTGCATTAACTGTGGGTATAGGATTCTATATATGGAGGTTTTCTATTTTATTAATTTTATTTCTATTGGTTGAACTAGATGGACTTTTGTTGTGTTCAACCAAACAGTAGTGCTTTGTATAGTATGGGCAGTGCAAAACCATCACAGGAATACTCCATCCCCTGCTTAACACTAAATGGTATAAAGACATCCTAATTTTCTGCCATCCCTAGAGGGCGCCACCTGAGATAAAAATTTACTTTGGTTCAGAACCAGTCCTGCAAACCTGTACCCCGGGTCCACTTGGAGCATACCTGAATAGATTTTTCATATTGCTCCTTCACATCATTTTCTGAATTGGAAAGTTTACTTTGCAGATCCTTCAGTCTTTTTTGATTGGCACTGGTTTCTGAAAACAGATTTTCTATATTGACCCTAGAAAAATTAAAGATAACCAATAAAGTAGAGTCATAAAGACAACCTGCAGGAATAAAAGCATAGTGGTTTGAATAAAACAATCCATTTACAGTAAATAGCACTATAAGAAGCTCTCAGCACAGCAAAACCTATCCAACTCTGATAAAGTCCTGACATAAAACTGGAATAGACAAGCATAGCTGATTAAAGAAACCCTGTCCCAATTTAAAAAATAAAAAATGCAAAAACACAGAAAAAGGGGTCAAATTTGGATCAGTGCTGGGAGGTTCTGCAGACCAGCCCTCTGGAATTTCCCCCTGCTCTAGAACTTTGGAGAAAGGTCTAGAAGCAGTGGGTGGATCTGAAGAGTGGACCACCTGTGTGGCAGGGAAGGAGCGGCCCAGATAGAAGGCCTGGTAGCATCAACTGACCCACCGGCAGCACAGGAGAAGATTATCAATCACAAAACATCACCCTCAAAGACAAATTGCTTGAAAAAAGGTTATCCATCTGCTCAATCACTCTACAATACAGGTCCCAACACCACTCTTCGTCATTCTGGAGAGAATAACCCCACTATCAGCTTTACCACCCAATTCCATAGTCATACACAAATGGAAAAGATAAACACTGGTCCATATTGTTACAAGACCCAAGGAATTTGTCTTTGATGGTGATTCTTTGTGATTGATAATCCTGGAGTTTGGTCCAGAAATGGGCGCTAATTTTGCCCCTTCATATGCCAACCTAACTATGGGATATTGGGAGTCATTATACACCTGAAACAATAATCCATATTCTTCTCACATTGTTTATTATGGCAGATACATTGATGACGTCATCATTTGGGATGGTGAAGCGGACAGTGTCCAACAGATGCATAAACACTGGTCCATACTGTTACAAGACCCACATCTGCTCAACAGCATACCCACGAAACCTAGGTTTGTTTACCAAAAGGCCCGTAATATCAAAAGCAAAACTAGTGCCCAGTAAAGTAAAACCCACTCAGTCAGACACTGTCCCCCTTTGATTATTCTCTATTTCTGGCATGCATCGATGCAACAAACCACTTTGTCTAACATGCCCATTTGTTCAACATGGTCAAAAAGATTTAAATAGCAAAGGCAAAACATACAAAAACCACTGCATTCCACACATGTTCCTCAGAATTTGTGGTTTACCTTTTGGCATGCCCCTGCGGCCTATATTATGTAGGTAGAACCATCTGCACTCTATTCAAACGTTTTGGGGAGCATTGCCGCCTCATCGAAGACAAGCATAGCTCCCCTGACATTTTCTAGAACAGCATGGAAATTTCACCAAAGGTCTAAAAGTCTGGGTCATTGAGGCCATGCCTATTGACCTTCCTAGAGCCGTGAGATTTCAGCGTCTATGTTGTAGGGAAACGTACTGGATTTATGTACTGAACGTACTATCACCCGGAGGTTTGAATGAGGATCTTGAGATTCATACTATTTTATAGAACAATCATTAATCATTACCTCCATATCCTCTTATTACATTTATATGTCTCCCTTACAGGGGACCAACATATCTGTTATATTATTCCATCATTGCCTACACTATATCATGTATATTTATTGTGTATACTGCATACTGTTTTGTCCACCCCTCCCCTCCCCCCCCTTTTTCTCCCCTATTCAGCTCTTAACTGCATATGTATGCGCAGCGTGTGCAAATATACACCCTTGCTTGTCTTATGATACAATTTTCACCAGAATGTACTCAATTGTTGTGCCCCATAACTCTCATCAGTGGTGCACAAAATTCACTTGTTCATTTATTCATGTATTTATCATGGATGTACCAATTCATCTACCTAGTTTGGTTCATATATTATCTATTCATTTTATCTATTACTCAATCATTTTTTTCTAAAATCCATGTACGCTTCATGTATTTTAAAATTCATATCTATTATAATCCTGTTGCTTAGTGACTATCATGCAGCACACTGGGGTATTCTCACCACTGTTCTGCCGCTACCAGCTTGCAGACCCTTCCTTCCCCCTCCCTTTTCTTCTTTATCCCTTCACGTCCCACACTCACTCTGCACCTTTTTCATTTTTATCAGTTTAAAATTTTCTTAATATAAATACATCTTTCCCCCCCGCACATTCTTGTGCCATCTTTTCCTTTTCATTTCCATTCTTTATAGTCTCCCTTCCCGCTTCTTGGATTTCACACCGTTTCCACTCTGTCCACCTTCTTTTTTTGGTCTTCGGGGGGGGCGTTAACCCCGTCCGCTCAGGTCACCCCTCCATCCTACTTATTTGGCTCTTCTTTGTTCTTGGCATCAGTCTTGAAGAAGGAGCTCTGCGCATGCTTCGAAAAGCGTCACCATTCCATGCCCACGTCACTTCTGGTTTTGTGTTCCCCTGGATAGCGTGTGCTCCAGCGTGCATTTCAGTGGCCCCCGGAAGAGTGGCGGCCATCTTTGTCATCCCATCCTCAGCTCTCCCTGCAGCTGCTGGTTGGTACAGTGGGTTCTCGCATGGTGGATAGAGCTCCTGCATCATGACGGATTATACTGAGCCTGTTTTCACTGCCACTTTGTAAGTGTTTTTAACCGTTGTCATTAAAGTGATTTTGGACATACTGCACTTAGAAGCACCTTCTTGTCTCATCCTCCCTTACATACAGAGTCTGATTCAACTCATGGAAGTGTTGCCCAGTGCCTGTGTTCCAGTTGCTCATCCATTATTGGCTGACATTCCTCTGTCCACGGCATCCTCCAATGATGTGCCCTACATACATCTCCTACTTCGGACCCAACTCTATTGCAACTCCTATGAGGGTAGTGCTACAATTATATGTTGTTTTAATTATTTCAATCAAGATTATATTTTAAATTATTTCTTGCAGCCCTTTTACTACCTTTAAAAAACTTTGAGCAAATTTGTTTACTTTCCTCTTCCGAGAGTATCTAACTAGTCTGTGTGCTGGCCCAGTTCCTCTGCCCTGCCCTCACCTCCCTTTTCTATAGCTGCTGGGGAAAAGCAAGGGGCCAAATAAGGCTCTTCGCTACCCTTTATTCGGCCCTTGGGGCACTATTCCTCCCACTGAGACCGACAATGGGGCAGCACTTTTTTCCATTGAAATCAATTATGGTGTACTATTCTTCCCACTAGAACCAATGATGGTGTACTATTCTTCCCAGTAATACCAATGATGGGGCACTACTCCTCCTATTGGCCATTTAACATGAAGCTTTATTCTCACGGATGCTGGGGCCAGGACAGATTCTATCCTCACTGGACCTAATCCGGCCCTCCTAAAGTCTGAAGACCCATATACTGGCCCTTTGTTTGAAAAGTTTGGAGACCCCTGCTACAGAGTGTTACTTGACAACTCCGAGTTTGCTGGAGCTACTGACATCACATCCAAGATCCCCACTCTACTTCAAACTAGAAAAACAAAGTTTTGGCTGGAGTTCCATGTGACAACATGGGTCACATCATTCTGTATATTAGGCTTGGTTCACATATGTGTAATTGGGAATCGTGGGCAGAATCAGCAATTCATCCTGAATGGAGCCCCAAAAGATTACAATTTTTTTGAGATTGCCATATGGCAAAATAAACATGAAAAATCGCACCTTGCTTAGGGCCACAATTTTGGTCTTTGAGTTTCTTTGTCACGTTGAACAAACAGAATCGTGTGAGAACGTCCCACACAAAACTGCAAGCGTTAACACAAGTTCCCGCTATGCGCAGTGTGAACAGGGCCTTTATGATGAAGAATATAGTAGAATATAAGTAAATATCAATACAAAAATGACAGTTACCATGCTATTTATTTTCTCATATCTACAATGGAGATTATTAATATTATTATTATACAGGATTTATATAGTGCCAACAGTTTTTTCAGCGCTTTACAATATAAAAGGTCTGATGAAGCAGCTCTTCAGAAAGCATGGATTCTGCAAGGAAGCTGCTACAGTCTGCATCCAGGGCGAACCTTATCATGCCCCTCAGACACAACAATTTCCAAAGATATCTGCAGACTTTATGTCTACAACATTCCGATAAGTGCATTCAATGTTATTGTAAATCATTCCATGATAATGGGAAAAATGAGACTTGTGTGCTGTGTCTATTTCCTAAATGGAAAGTATGATGACTGGCGGTCAATTTTAATCAATTTTTTGAAAGTTTACAAGTATTGAACTGATGTGATCTCTTCTTTTCACTTTACATAATATGTGTTTTACAAAACTGTTTAAAAACACGACACTCAGTCTGTACGATGTTGGTGTTTCCAGTGAGAAAGCCCAGCACTCAGTTTGCACACGATGTTGGCGTTTCCAAATGTTCATTTTTTTTTTTCCAAGATGAATGCTTGTTTTCACACTCAAGATAAGGTCGACTCTGGGAATGTAAGCAATCATTTCTATGTATGAACAAAAAAAATCCAACATCCAGCTCGAGTATCTGTGACTGACTGTACTATCACCTCCATTCTGTTAATGTGAAAGAAGGACACGTGTGACTGCACTTTGCTACAGGAGATACTGCTATCTAAAAAAAGTAATTTTTTAAATATACACATAAAAACACACAAAGCGCTATGGGTTGTTTAAAGAAAGCAGAACAATTGCTGTTTGCTTTCAGACTCTCTCACCGTAATTAATAGCTTTTTTGGAGCACTACAGAGCAGAGAAGGAGAGGAAGGATAAAGAAGACTGGGGAAAGTCATTCTTCCAACTCAGAGTTGATCCAGGGAATATCCGATTGCCTCTCAAGGGGTCAGGAAGGCATTTTTTTTCCCTGCAGGAGCAAATTGGATTATGCTTTGCTGGGGTTTCTGCTTTCCTCTGGATCAACTGTAGGTATAGGATTATAACTTTTTGTTTTTTATTTTTCTCTTTTTTCAGCCAGACTAACTATGTAACTATATAGCTGTATGTAATTTAACCTATTAAGCTCTGTAAACAGGCTTTTGTTAGCAAATCAGTTAAGATTAGCCTGGTAAATATATGAAAGGGAACGTAGAGTTTCATCTTCTAGATAAAAAAAGGCCATTACGAAGTATGCATATGTCATTTTTCACATCACCCGCACTAAAAGATGTACAAATATATTTAAACACTATATATATTGTTAACGTAATTCTATAAAGATGTAGATTACCCAGCAGCTGCTGAAACCTTCTCAAGATCATTTGGAAGCTCAATAAGATCAGTGTGATTTACTTCTATTTCCTGCAATTAGAGATCATTAGTGAAGTCAGTAACATTTATAGTCTGGCAGCAGTTCTCTAAATAGCACAGAGCCTGGAAGAATTGTTAAATCTCACACACAGCCTTAAAGTTGTAGTAAAGGCTTAACGTTTTTTTTTACTTTATTTGCATTCACAGCATTAAAAGCGAATTTCACCTTTCTGAACATGTCATTTAGGGTGTAACATGTTCAGCATGCACCCTCTCTCCCTCCAATCCCTACCTCCTACTGTGACAGCGAGCAAGGGTTCATCTCCCTGTACCTGCTGTCACAATTCAATCAGCGTGGCCTCATGGTGCTATACCCACACACAGGGCTGTGGATAAGTGGGTACCAGTGGTCCCCCTGTGCGAGGCTCAGACCAGCGGGGGGGTTCCAGGAAGCAGGGTGAATCGGATGTGGGCAGGGAGGGTGATTGGCACAGCGGGGGGGGGGGGGGGGGGGCAATTACTGGAGCCTTTTAAGGCTCTTTGCAGCACCCTCCATTACCCCATGCTGCCCTAGCCCCCCACAGTACAGTACTGCCAGCTTTCCTCCTCTCCTTCCCACTGGCAACTGCAAGCACACAGTAGGATCCTTAGAAAGAAGTGTGTGGGAAGGGTCTGTAAATATGTCACATTTACCAGCCCCTTCCTTTTTTGAATGGACACAATGGTGATCGGCACAGATCACTCGCTGTGTCCATTCATAACTGAAGCATAGTAAACGGTGTTTATTTGGGGGCTCTGTTACATTGGCTGTATGGTTTCTAACAGCAGCCCTGCCTACATGCCCACGTCATTCATTCCAAGTACCATTTGCCATTGTGGTTGATGGCTTGAAGTTCTCAATGAACTGCAAGGGCGCTGGTGAGTGCTCCCGCAGCTCATTAATCTTCCTGCTCTCAAGAAACTGCCTGCTTGTATCGGAGGTACAGGCAAACAGCTATACTGAGAGTCTGCAGGAGCCTGGTGTTGCACCCATGATCTGTTGACCGCAGGTGCAAAGCTCTCAGGTTCCTTTGAAAAAATAAATTAACATTTTTTTTACCTGCAAAAGGTATTGAAGGTGTCAGTGGGAATTTTTGCCCCATTGTTGGTGTCAGTGGATGGAATAGATCTCCATTGTTGGGGTCAGTGGGCGGAATAGTGTTCTATCACTGGTGTGTGTGAAAGGAAAAATGCCCCATTGTTGATGTCAGTGGGAAAGGGAGGAATATTTTCCCATCACTTGTGTCTGTGGAAGAAAAAATGCCCCATTTTTGGTGTCAGTGGGAGGAATAGTTTCCCATCACTGGTGTCTGTGGAAGGAAGAATGCCCATTGTTTGAATTTGTGGGAGGAATAGTTCCCCATTGTTGGGTGTCAGTGGAAAAAATGTTGCCTCAATGTTAATGTTAGTGGAAGGAATGCTGTTTTGTATCATTGGGAAGAACAGTGCCCCAAGGACAAGACCACTGTTCTAGAGCACATTTCTAGTGGATACAGTAAGGCTAGAAGAAGAGTGATAGGTTCCTTCTGCCTCCAGCTGGGAGGAGGGAGCAGAGATGTGGGTTTCCAGGTGCTGTGTGCGACTATGGATGCACACAGCTCAGTTAAGGCCCCAGACGGGCACATAGACATGGGTGTCTCCTTGGCACGCAGTCAGTCGAAGGAAACACCTATGCAGGACTGCGGCCACCCCCCCCCATGAAAAAAACAAAACAAAAAGGTGAGAGAGGAGAGGGTTTCATATCACTTTATAGCTGGCCATACACCAGCAGAATTTTGCTCTAATATTCATACGAAAACTCATCAGAGCATTTGATCTTACCATCACTGAGCGATATTGCGTGAAATATTTTCACTTTCAAAGCTTGTAAAAGCTTTGAATAGCACAGCAGAGCAATACAAAGCAGCTTGTCTACATAGTAAAAACAAACAGCACACTGTTAACCCTTTGGTCGTCCCAGATGTTCACCCCTTCCTGCCCAGTGTCATTAGTACAGTGTCAGTACTTTTTATTAGCACTGATCACTGTATTAGTGTCACTGGGGATGTCAGTGGCAGTTAGCTTCCACCCAGTGTCAGAATGCCCACTGAAGCCCAGCCATTACTAGTAAACAAAAAAAAAAATTTAAAAATTAAAATTACAGTATACAGTTGCAAGAAAAAGTATGTGAACCCTTTGGGATTACGTGGAGTTTTGCATGAATTGGGCATAAAATGTGCTCTGAACGTCATCTAAGTCACAACAATAGAAGAACACAGTCTGCTGAACATAATACTACACAAACATTAGATGTTGCCATGGTTTAATTGCACATAACATGTAAACATTCACAGTGCAGGGAGGAAAAACTATGTGAGGCCCTAGCTTAATGACTTCTCCCAGAGCTAATTGGAGCCAGGAGTGAGCCAACCTTGACTCCAATCGGTGTGATGATATTGGATGTGTTGCTGACAGCTGTCCTGCCCTTAAAAAACACACACCTGTTTTGGGTTTACTGGTTTCAAGAAGCACTGTCTGATGTGAACCATGCCTCGCAAAAAAGAGCTCTCAGAAGACCTACGATCAAGAATTGTTGAATTGTATAAAGCTGGAAAGGGTTACAAAAGTATCTCCAAAAGCCTTGATGTTCATGTGTCCACGGTAAGACAGACTGTCTACAAATGGAGAAAGTTTAGCACTGTTGCTACTCTCCCTAGGCATGGTCGTCCTGTAAAAATGACTGCAAGAGCACAGCGCAGAATGCTGCATGAGGTAAAGAAGAATCCCAGAGTGTCAGCTAAAGACCTACAGAAATCTCTGGCACATGCTAATATTTTTGTTGACACATCTACAATAAGGAAAACATTAAACAAGAATGGAGTACATCTGAGGACACCACGGAGGACGCCGTTGCTGTCCAAAAAGAATTTTGCAGCACGTTTGAAGTTTGCAAAAGAGCACCTGGATGTTCCACAGCACTACTGGCAAAATATACTGTGGACAGATGAAACCAAGATTGAGTTGTTTGGGAAGAACACACAACACTATGTGTGGAGAAAAAAAGGCACAGCACACCAACATCAAAACCTCATCCCCACTGTAAAACATGGCGGAGGGAGCATCATGGTTTGGGGCTGCTTTGCTGCCTCAGGGCCTGGACGGATTGTTGTCATTGATGGGAAATTGAATTCCAGAGTTTATCAAGACATTTTGCAGGAAAACGTACGACCATCTGTCCGCCAAATGAAGCTCCGCAGAGGATGGATGATGCAACAGGACAATGACCCAAAGCATACAAGTAAACAACAAAACAATGGCTGCAACAGCACAGAATACGCCTTCTGGAGTGGCCCAGTCAGAGTCCTGACCTCAACCCGATTGAAATGCTGTGGCATGACCTTAAGAGAGCGATTCACACCAGACATCCCAAGAATATTGCTACACTGAAAGAGTTTTGTGAAGAGGAGTGGTCCAAAATTACTCCAGATCGTTGTGCAGGTCTGATCTGCAACTACAGGAAACATTTGGTTGAGGTTATTGCTGCCAAAGGAGGGTCAACCAGTTGTTAAGTCCAAAGGTTCACATACTTTTTCCTCTCTGCACTGTGAATGTTTACATGTTATGTGCAATTAAACCATGGCAACATCTAATGTTTGTGTAGTATTATGTTCAGCAGACTGTGTTCTTCTATTGTTGTGACTTAGATGACGTTCAGAGCACATTTTATGCCCAATTCATGCAAAACTCCACGTAATCCCAAAGGGTTCACATACTTTTTCTTGCAACTGTATATACTGCCATTTGTAGACACTATAACTTTCACATAAACCAATTAATTTACATGTATTGGGATTTTTTTTTCTTTTTTAGCAAAGATATGTACCAGAATACATTTTGGCCTAAATTTATGAAGAAATTTGATTTTTTAATTGGTGCAAAAAAACAAAAAACAAAACAAAAAAAAACAAAAAAAAACACACACACAGGTGATCAAATACCACTTAAAGAAATCTCTATTTGTGGTAATAAAAGAACATAAATGTAATTTATATACAACATTGCATGACCGCACAATTGTCAGTTAAAGTACAGCAGCGCCATATCGCAACAAATGGCCTGGTCAGGAAAGGGGGTAAATCCTCAGTCCCATTCTTGGGACTGAGGAATACTCTCCTCATTTGCAGGACAGGCATTTTACATGATAAATAGACTTTTCTGTTAGAAGTTTGACAGTATCTTGGCCTTGAAATGTAAACAACTATGACAAAAAAGGGGAAAACTCAGAATGAGAATTCTTTTTTATCAATTTGTTTTTGTTTTGTAGCATGGGCTACAGAAATTTTAACAATCTGATTGATTGCTGCTGGTAATCCCATTTTCCTTGCAGTTTTTGTCTTTTTTTAACTTTTTGGGTTTTTTTTTTTGTTTCTAGTCCTCACCTCCACAATATGGTGCAGTAGAGTTATACGGGTTTGGTTTGCCTTTGTTTCGGTCAGCTTCAGTAAAGTGCTTATTTTAAAGCCATTTGCATTTCCAGTGTGACTTCCCTAGAATGTGACAGAAGAAAGATCCAGTCAACCAATAAAACCTCGTATGCAGTACATTTCAATGTATAATGTGAAATCCAGTAAGCACCAGACCAAAATTTTAGAACACTATTATGACTGGATGAAGGTGACTATAAATGCTTGGGTAAGTTCCTGCTACACATTAGAAATGCAGAAGCTGCTTGGATAAGTGGTGAAATGTCTTCAACATTACAGGATATGTCCAATTGAATGTGACTAACTACTACTAGATATACCATGACCTGAATAAATGAGAACCTTCACAGACATACAATATCCAAAAAGTGAAGTGGCGATCGAGTGACCAGATATGATTATTGCACCACATCCCTTAAAATTGCAAATATTCAATAGAGAAGATGGGACTTTCAGGGTGCATAGACATGAATACCACACATTAAAAGTTATACAATTTTTATTTTGTATTTTGGTAAAAAACACAAGAAAGGAAAGAAATACAGAAACATAAAAAACAAATTTCAATTCTAAGAATACCAACTGAGATTCAAACTTGTAGTTCACTACACATTTTCCTTTGATATACCTTTAGACTGCCTTGGCGATAGAAATTTCAACAAAAAAATCTTCCCTGAAGAAGCCCATGAGGGCGAAACACGTAGGGAGTATTCTACATTTACCCAACAAAGTTTGAATCTCAGTTGGTATTCTTAGAATTTAAATAGTTTTTATGTTTCTGTATTTTTTCCTTTCTTGTGTTTTTTTACTAAAATATGAAATAAAAATTATATAACATACAATATCGAAACATAGATAATCACCAACAGCAACTGATGAAGAAGATGATACCTTTGAAACACACGAGCCGGTTGGGATCTCTAAGAGGTCCCCCTGTACTCTGGAGACTGCGGAGTCAGGGACTGCTGGGCTACGGACGGGTGTCTCAATAAGCGATTTTTATTCATAGGATTGTTAGTGCAATTTATAATGGTTTTTAATTTGTGTAATAAATGCTGTGGGATAATGCACTAGGCTGGTGCGCCCTCTTTTGTTCACTTTTATCCAAGCATAGATGCCAGGTTGGCACTCACAAAACAGTTGAGCATCAGAGATAAAGTGTTTTTTTATGACTTGCGACCTTTAAAAATGAAGCTGAACTCTGGGCAAATATTAAAAAACTTAACATGGCTATGTATTCATTGAACATGGAATATGACTTAGTATCAGCCTCTTGTAATCCCCATGTGCAGTAGAACACAGACAGGAGGAGGGAGGGGCAGCACTAAGGTCTGATCAGTCTGATGCAGCTCCTTTGCTGTCCAATCAATGGGAGGAGGGAGGTGACCAATCTGCAATACCTACCTGCAGACAAGTCTGGTCACTCACCAACTTGTGGATACAGGTGTTAGCACTTCTACCTTCCCACATTCCAGCTCTGCCTGGTCAGATAGACAGGCTGTCAGTGCCTCTAAGTATCATGGATCACAAGTATAACAGCTGTAAACTTCCAATGCGTTTCAGCCATCAGGCCTTAGTCATGTCGGCCGAAGCGCGGTGGATGTTTTACAGCTATTATACAGTCATGGCCGAAATTGTTGGCACCCTTGATATTTTTCCTGAAAATCAAGTATTTCACACAAAAAAAGGTATTGCATTAACACATGTTTTGCTATACACATGTTTATTCCCTTTGTATGTATTGGAACAAATATAAAACAGAGGCAGAAAAGCAAATATGACATAATGTCACACAAAACCCCAAAAATGGGCTGGACAAAAGTATTGGCACCCTTAACTTAATATTTGGTTGCACACCCTTTGGAAAACATAACTGAAATCAGTCGCTTCCTATAACCATCAATAAGCTTCTGACACCTCTCACCCGGAATTTTGGACCACTCTTCCTTTGCAAACAGCTCCAGGTCTCTCTTATTGGAAGGACACCTTTTCCCAACAGCAATTTTAAGATCTCTCCACAGGTGTTCAATGGGATTTAGATCTGGGCTCATTGCTGGCCACTTCAGAACTCTCCAGCGCTTCTTTGCCATCCATTTCTGAGTGCTTTTTGACGTATGTTTGGGGTCATTGTCCTGCTGGAAGACCCAGGATCTTGGACGCAAACCCAGCTTTCTGACACTGGGCCCTACAGTGCGACCCAAAATCCTTTGGTAATCCTCAGATTTCATGATGCCTTGCACACAGTCAAGGCACCCAGTGCCAGAGGCAGCAAAACAACCCCAAAACATCATTGAACCTCCACCATATTTTACCGTAGGTACTGTGTTTTGTTCTTTGTAGGCCTCATTCCGTTTTCGGTAAACAGTAGAATGATGTGCTTTACCGAAAAGCTCTATCTTGGTCTCATCTGTCCACAAGACGTTTTCCCAGAAGGCTTTTGGCTTACTCAAGTACATTTTGGCAAACTGTAGTCTTGCTTTTTTATGTCTCTGTGTCAGCAGTGGGGTCCTCCTGGGTCTCCTGCCATAGCGTTTCATTTCATTTAAATGTCGACGGATAGTTCGCGCTGACACTGATGCTCCCTGAGCCTGCAGGACAGCTTGAATGTCTTTGGAACATGTTTGGGGCTGCTTATCCACCATCTGGACTATTCTGCGTTGCAATCTTTCATCAATTTTCCTCATCCGTCCACGACCAGGGAGATTAGCTACAGTGCCATGGGTTGCAAACTTCTTGATAATGTTGCGCACTGTGGACAAAGGCAAATCTAGTTCTCTGGAGATGGACTTGTAACCTTGAGATTGTTGATATTTTGCCACAATTTTGGTTCTCAGGTCCTCAGACAGTTCTCGTCTCCTCTTTCTGTTGTCCATGCTTAGTGTGGCACAGACAGACACACAATGCAAAGGTTAAGTGAACGTCTCTCCTTTTTATCTGCTTTCAGGTGTGATTTCTATATTGCCCACACCTGTTACTTGCCCCAGGTGAGTTTACAGGAGCATCACATGCTTGTAACATTCTTATTTATCCGCAGTTGTGAAAGGGTGCCAATACTTTTGTCCAGCCCATTTTTGGAGGTTTGTGTGACATTATGTCGAATTTGCTTTCTTTCCTCCCTTTTTTTGTTTTGTCCCAATACACACAAAGGGAATAAACATGTGTATAGCAAAACATGTGTTAATGCAATACGTTTCGTGAGAAATACATGATTTCCTGGAGAAATATCAAGGGTGCCAACAATTTCGGCCATGACTGTACATATTTCTGCAATAAAGGATAACTGTTGGATGCTATTCCAAGCAGGGGCGGACTGACCATCTGGAAACTCTGGCAATGCCCGAGGGCCTGGGGTCAGTAGGGGGCCCCATGAGATGCCCCTGGTACCTTTTTTCATAGGCTTTTTTGAGTTTGGGTAAGGACACGGGCCCCATGATCTCCTATTGCCCGGGGGCCCCATGAGTTGTCAGTCCGCCCCTGGTTCCAAGTGCTGACTTCTCTTGTGATCCACTCACCAATCTGACTTTTCTGTCTAGTAGGGCTGTGAAGCTCAGTACTGAATGGAAAAAAATATTTGGCAGGTAAAACATGTAAGGATTTTAACTTAACTTTAATTTATGGTTTGCCTGAAGTTCTAGTATAATACCTATATACACATTTTTTGTGAAATTATTTGAAATATAGTTTCTTCTTCTTTAAAAAAAAAAAATGGGCAGAGACATGCAAATCAATCTTAATTTTCTTCTTCAAACTGTGCCTTGTAGTCAATTTAAATATAACTGCTAAATCCCAACTATGAGGACATGAACCTTACTGGCTTATACTGTAGCTGTGAATCCACATACAGTATTTTCTGGCGTATAAGACTACTTTTTATACTTAAAAATATACCCCAAAAATTGGGGGTCGTCTTATAAGCGGGGTATAAAATGTGAACCTTTTATACATCCAGTGGTCTGATTACCAAAGGGACGTACCGGTATGTTTTGAAACAGCTTGGCTCAGTATACTGTATATACCACACATCCAGCAGGCTGACAGATTAATCTGTCATAGGGACATTTGTTTTGAGCCAGCTTGGCTCAGCGCGGTATACTGTATGTACATTACTGCACATCCAGCGGGCTGTATATATACTGTATATTGTATGTAGCCGAAGCTACCGTATTACCACACATTCAGCAGTAACCATCTGTTTTGGAATTTGATCCATATGATGACTGTCTTACAAATGTATCACAATATGTCATTCATGTACTTTTGATGTCAGAGGATGAACATGAGGATTTTGAAGGATTTTAAGTACCGGTAAGTCATAACCATTTCAAGTAAAAAATCTGATGTTTTTAAATGGTGTTGCCTCAGAAGGGGGGTAGTCTTATACGGCGAGTATAGCCCAAAACTTATTTTTTAACTGGAAAATTAGGGGGTTGTCTTATACACCCAGTTGTCTTATACGCCGGAAAATACGGTACATACAAACCAATAAGAACACCAAACAAATGTCCAAGGTTTTTAATGATACAATTGATTAATATAAAATAAATAAATAAAAATACAATGCATTCCAGGGGCCAAACGCACTTCACCTTCCTCTGGGTGCAAAACAAGTACAGAGATCATAAATATAAAAAGGGACGTGAATACAAAAATGAATATACAGATATTACATTTATGAGCTTTTACATTTATAATTTTGGACCTTTGTATCTGGTACTTGTTTTGTTGTCCCAATGAAGGGCGAGGGTGTTTGGCCCCAAAATGCATTGGGTTTTTCCTGCAAACAACTGTATAAAAATCTTGCTCTCATTGGACTGTAAGTGGATTCTCAACCCTGGGTTCTTTGTTTCTAAGGGCTGACCCCATTTTTTTTAGTGCTATCTAACCAGAACAAGGGCTCCCATTGACAATTTCAGTGATCTTCTGAAAATCTGAATGAAGCATCCCATTTGTTCTCATTTTTGTTTTCCTGTATTATTTTTAATATTGTCTGTGCAAAACAGAGCCAATTGGGCATACCCTAGCTCATGCAGTACATCAATCTTACACAGTGTACTAAAACAATAAAAAGCCCAGAAATTAAACAGTGAGGTGCACTTGATACAAGGCAGTAAAACATACAGGATCAAAACCAGTTAGGAAAGCATCCAATTGCATCTCTTGGGATATGGGGGAACTTGCGCTAGAGCATCTTCATTAAGATATGCATAGTAGACCACAGCTTTATACTTGACCTCCTCCCTGCAGAGTCATTCAAAGCACTTACATTAACTTGGTCTAGCCAAGATCCGGTAAGGCATTGGTATTTGTTCTTGAGCTTGACAGACAAACTATTGTGTCTCTAGTGTTGGGCTTAAAGAGCATCAATAGATAAGGCCAGGTGTCACCTCCCCTAATATTTAAAGGGGTTGTAAACTTCAGACCAGGGGCGGACTGACAACTCATGGGGCCCCCAGGCAATAGGGGATCATGGGGCCCGTGTCCTTGCCCAAACTCAAAAAAGCCTATGAAAAAGGTACCAGGGGCATCTCATGGGGCCCCCTACTGACCCCGGGCCCTCAGGCAGTGCACAAGTTTCCAAATGGTCAGTCCACCCCTGCTTCAGACATGAAATATGAATGAAACCTATCCCTCTATAGTGTGTATTTGTCTCAATCCAGAGCACTAAGTGTCATTTCTGTCTGCTGCCTCATTTCTCTTCTATCAGCATGAGCCCTTCTGCGTTTTCCTGACACCAAGAGAGAAATGACAGGGGAGGGAGGGGGGCGTATTTACCACAATGCAAATAAAGCAATTGCCTAGGACGGCATTTTTCAGGGGGGCAGCACCTCCCCCCAGAAGAAGGGATGAAAGAAGGGACAAGCGCACCATGGGAACCAGGTGGTATTCAAGAGGGGCTGCAGGTTGCTTGATGGTGTATGTATAGCCTGGCTCTTGTTCCCAGGAATGTGTGGAGCTGTAAAGATGATTGTCTCTCTATCGCCGGGGGGGGGGGTGTTGTTTCTTGGCTCCCCTGGGTGGGGGGCAGCAGTGTTGTTGGTCAATGTCAGACTCTCTCCACGGGAGGGGGGGAAGGGGAGGTTGTTTTGCTCGGTGTCCATGGGGGTAGACGATTTTTGTGTTGCCTAGGGCAGCACAAAACTAAATACACCGCTGGGGAGGCACATCCAGCAGATTGACAGCTTCAGCTCTGCCCCTGTGAACTGTGTGGACGGGGGGTGTCTGCTCCCTCCAATCAGCTCTCAGAGCTCGGCTCACTCCCTCCTCCCATTGATTGGACAGCAAATGAGCTGCATCAGACTGTAACTTCAGCTCCCTGACACCTGCTTTTCAGAGCTGAGAGATCCTGTGTAAATTCTGCACTTTGAATGGATGTAGGGGAAATACTGCTCTAGATATACAGGTACAACTTATGTAGGAGGATTTGTTTAATCTCTGTGTATCACCTGAGGCAAGTCAACTTGGTAAATGTGTTTACAAACACTTTAAATATTCAAACTTCCAGTGTAAAACAGTACAAAATACTCACATAATTCAAGAAGTTGCCAACTTTCAGAACAAGCTGACAAAAGAGTGGAAGTCTCTGACTGTTAAGAATTTCTGAAAATATAAAAAAATAAAATCATTAGCAGCCATTCTAAATAGAGTAGGAAGGGTTAGGCCCTTTGCTTGTTTTCCATTGCTGTCTGTGTCCCTGCTGGGGAGAGTCACCCCTCTATTTGTACAGATGACCATTGTCATTCAAGGTGAGGAGAAATCCCAAACTTCTGAGTTGTCATCAGAACAATGGGGAAAACTTTGCCTTCTTAAGATGGGAATTTTGTTCTGTTTTCCTGTTGGGTCTCCAGGCCAGGAAGTGGAGGTATATTTCTCCAGAGGGACAAAGGCAGCAAAAAAAAAAACAAAAACAAAACATAAACCTGATAGACGTTTTGACCCTTTCCTTCTTGGTCTAAAGCTAAACAAAAATCTCTAGCAGCAGTAATATTATAATATGTAATAATGAGATATAATAATGAAAAATAATTAAACACATATATAACATGCACAACTTAATAAAAAGTCCATAAGTGAGCTAAACACATGTGATGGGTAGCAACAAACAAAAAAAAAAAAAAAAAAAAAAAAAAAAAAAAAAAAAAAAAAAAAAAGCAGCTTCTTCAGTGAATCTGAGAAAACACCACGTGTCCGCCATTAAAACACACTCTGAGGCTCACCAGAGTGCATGTGACGCACAGGAGAGAAGTCATCAGCACTTGTTTAATCCGTACTTCCCACATGGCAGAAAAATATATTTGAAATATATTTTAAAAATATTCTTCTAAACTATATTGACATATATTTGAAACACTACAATTTTGGCCATATTCAATATATTAAAAAAAATAAAATAAATAATAATATATATATATATATATATATATATATATATATATATTAGTTGAAATGCATCTTTTATATATTACAAAATATATGAATATATTTTTTAAAAATATATTCTTCTGATTTTTTTTTTAACATATAAAAAAAAGAAAGTAATTTTAACATATACTTTTCACATATATTTGTAAATGCATTCCAAAACGTAGATCTGTCTTTTTAAAAGACTAAGTATATTTGAAACGTATTTTTAAAAATATTTGGTAATAAAAACTCATTTCAACATACAGTGCAATATATATATATATATATATATATATATATATATATATATATATTATGGCCAAAATAGTATTTCAAATATATTTTTCTTCCATATGGGTCCCCTGGCTCAGTGGATGGTCTCTCTCCTCACAGCAGTCTCCCACCACAGCACACTCAGGGACCAGGAGTTAGTTCAAGCATCCACCATGGAAACCATCCAAAATAACACTTCCCTTTGTATAAATCTGGCAAGCAGGTTTAATAAGATCATTAAAAGCACTTAATGTTATACAGCGTAAAAACAACAGCAAAACCCAGAATCCTTGGTGATGCGCACGCTCATGTATGATGTCGCGGGTTCTGGCTCCGTCCAAAGTGTTTCATCAGATGACTTCTCTCCTAAGAGTCCCAAGCATTCTTGGAAGCCTCAGTGTTTTTTTTTTAGTGAAGGACATGCAGTGTTTTTCTCAGATTCACTTACCATGGAAGAAGCTGACCCTTTTTGAAGTTTGTTGCTACACGTCATGTGTTTAGCTCACTTATGGACCTATATTTCGCTGCGAATGTTATATGGGCTATGTTATATTCTTTAATTTTTTTTTTCTTTGTAGGATTTAATGCCGATAGTGCTGCACTTACATATGCTTTTGTCCTCTATTGTGAGGTGTATCCTGTACTGTGTGCTAGCTGCTATATTGGAATCTTTCCTCTTGCACAGCATTTTTTCACTTTATTTTGAATGAGAAATAATAGATCCAGTTACCTTCACATGCAGAGCTGACTGTCTGAGCCTTTGGTCGTAACATGTCCAGCATAACATTGGTCTCCTCACAAGCCAGCATACACTCAATCCGAAGCTGGTAGCTGCAAACATAATGTGATCTAATTTTACAGTGACCATTACATTATACAATTCCCTAAGGTATACATTATGGATGGGGGAAATCCCAAACTGTTTTCTACAGCTATGTTCCACAGTCCCATTGGAATTTAAATACATACCATAGGACCCTTGGGAAAAAAAAAGAAGCTCACAGCTTTTTCCATTAGTGCTAACTACTAAATAATCACATTATGAGAGGATTGTCAATGCATAATTGCGTGATATGATAGAAAGAATCATGCCATACACACAGGTATCTAACCAGCGGAAAGTAACCCATAAACCAACCAATCTCCAATCATTTGTTATTGTAAAAAGATCAAAATCTTTACCAAGTAGACCTGTTAGTTTAATTCCTATAGTTGGGAAGATACTGGAGAATTTAATAAAAGACCACATAGATGAGTTCTTGGTGGAAAAAAAATATTTGAAAGCAACAGACAGCATGGATTCATGAAAGACAGAAGTTGTCAAACAAATCTGATTTCTCTTTATGAGGAGGTGAGCAAAACCTTGGACAGAGGGGTGGCGGTGGACGTGGTATACTTGGACAGAGGGGTGGCGGTGGAAATGGTATACTTGGACAGAGGGGTGGCGGTGGACGTGGTATACTTGGACAGAGGGGTGGCGGTGGACGTGGTATACTTGGACAGAGGGGTGGCGGTGGACGTGGTATACTTGGACAAAGGGGGTGGCGGTGGACATGGTATACTTGGACAAAGGGGTGGCGGTGGACGTGGTATACTTGGACAGAGGGGTGGCGGTGGACGTGGTATACTTGGACAGAGGGGTGGTATACTTGGATTTTGCAAAAGCGTTTGACACAGTTCCCCACACACAGCTAATGTGTAAGGTAAAGTCTACGGGCTGGGAAAAATCTGTATGTAAAATGGAAAGAAAACTGACTAAAAGATGGTATTCAGAGAGTAGTGGTTAATGATTCATACTCTGAATGGTCTAGGGGTGTCAGTGGTGTACCCCAAGGTTCAGTGTTGGACCCTTACTTTTTAATATATTTATAACAATATAGGGTCTGGGATTATAAATCCCATTTCAGTCTTTGCAGATGACACCAAGCTGTGCAGTGGAATAACGTCCTTACAGGATGTCTTCAATTTACAAGCCGACCTCAATGCTCTGTGTAATTGGGCAACTATGTGGCAAATGAGGTTTAATGTTGATAAATGTAAGGTTCTGCACTTGGGGGCTAAGAATATGCATGCATCATACATACTAGGGGGGGGTACAACTGGGGGAATCAATGGTGGAGACGTATCTGGGAGTTCTGGTAGATCACAAGCTTAATAATGGCATGCAATGCCAAGCTGCGGTTTCTAAAGTGAGCAAAATCCTCTCTTGTATTAAAGGAGGTATAGACTCCTGAGAGAGAGATATCATATTACCCCGGTACAAATCATTAGTAACACCTCATCTGGAATATGCAGTTCAGTTTTGGGCTCCAATTCACAAAAAGAACATTGGGGAACTGGAGAAAGTACAGAGAAGGGCAACCAAACTGATAAGAGGCATGGAGGAGATCAGCTATGAGGAAAGATTAGAGGAACTGAATGTATTCTCTCTCTTGAAAAGAGGAGATTAAGGGGGGATATGATCAACATGTATAAATACATCAGTGGTTCATATAGTGAATTCGGTGTAGAGCTATTCACCCTGAGGTCATCACAGAGGACAAGGGGGCACTCTTTACATCTGGAGGAAAAGATATTTATTCTCCAAATACGGAAAGTTTTCTTCACAGTAAGAGCTGTGAAAATGTGGAATAGACTCCCTCAAGAGTTGGTTATGGTCAGTGGATTGCTTTAAAAAAGGCCTGAATTCTTTCTTAGATACACAGAATATAACTGAATACTAACATTTATAGGTAAAGTTGATCCAGGGAATATCCGATTGCCTCTCGGGAGATCCCCTGCACGAGCAAATTGGATCATGCTTTGCTGGGGTTTTTGCCTTTCTCTGGATCAATTGTGGGTATAGGATAACTATTTTTTTTAAATGATTGAACTGGATGGACTTTTGTCTTTTTCAGCCAGATTAACTATGTAACTATGTTATTTCAACCTCCCCCAACCTCATTAATGCCTATACCCCAATAATGAGGGCTATCATATTATCTTTGTTGATCTTCACAGGCATGAAAAGACCAAATTAAAATTAGAATATTAACAGCTCATCAGCTACAGATCTCTCAGTTTCAAGGGACAATACTGCACATGAAATAAAGATGTACTAAAAGAAACACAAAAAGCTGCCATTGCTGAAGGTGAGCATCAAGGGCAGCTAGCACTGAGTGAGCGGGAAGACTTCCACTGACACCCGAAAAGGCGAGTAGACGTGGGCGCAGCATCCCGGATGGTGGCACCTCCCAGAGCATGGACTTCTCTAACCTCCCAGCTCATGGCTCCGACAAATGGAGGACAAGAAAATGTTTGTCCAGGGTACAGTTAATATTAAAGATAACCCTGCCTTGGAGTCCTGAGCTGTGTAATTCTCTGCAATGAAAGCAGAGGAGCCTGAAAATATTCAAGCAAATCAAGTGGGCAATGATTTATTAGAATGTCTTTGTGCAGACGTGGGTTATCTGCTGAGAATCAAGTAATCCAGGCAATTGTTAGTTATGGATTGTACGAGTCTGGGTAGGCTGGACAAGTCAGCATAAAAGGTATTTAGGCCCCCCCAAAAAATTTGTGATTCTTGTGTATCGCTGCTTTAAAAAAGTAAAACTATTTATAAAAAGGATAGCGGTGTGCTTTTTAAATGTACTGTACTTGGTGCTCCCTTTGCTATGGGACTTTGAAAGCAAAGAAAATGCTTTTAAAATAATAGAAGGGGAGGAAAATTGGCCAGGAAGAGGCACCTGCCAGTGTTGAGCAGAGGGAACTGCAAGCTCCATACTGCTGCCTGCATTTTATGAATTGGCTGCAAAATGCAGGTCTTGGTGTGGAGCAATTTTGCAGTGTAAAGCAGAGCACAAATATCAGTATCCACTCTCCGCTATAAGTACCCCAATTTAGTTTGGAAAGCAAGGTACTTAAAAGGGATTCTAGAAAGGTTGCAACTCGCAAAAAAAAAAAAAAGGACTGTTGCTATGGGGGCACTTGAGCAGGCTTGCCCACTAGCCACGTTCCTGTGAATGGAGATTGTCTATTTAAACACAGAGCACCCCCCCCTCTCTTTGGGTCACTGGTTGTGACTGACAGCAGCAAGAACCAATGGCTCTCACTTCTGTGTGAACCAAAGAGGAGAGGGGGGGGGCAGCTGCATGCACATCGCTGGATCGAGATGGGGCTCAGGCAATTATAAGAAGGGGGGGGGCGAGCTTCAACCATAAGGTTTTTTTTACCTTAAAACATAGAATGTATTAAAGATAAAAACCTTCTGCCTTTAGAATCATTTTAAGCCTACTCTGTAGCAAATATAATGTCAAATGCTGTTTTAATTCCAATAGTCAGACAAATAACCTCATATTAAAGGTTCTGCCTTTCCAAACATATGTACTAAAATGGGGTGGCTCATCAATCTCACAATTTTCGTAAGTCACTTACTTAGACACACCAAGGAGCAGCAGGTAAAACCGGTCTGCATTTGATAACTTGGAACTATCTTCCTTGAACCCTTTTAGGTTTTCCACCTGTAAGTGACAGATATTGATTAAGGAAAACAGACAGAGATATCTTCCTGCCTCAAACCACTGTATGCCTTAAAAGCAACCTTTTTCCCCATATTTACCCCAGAGGAGCACATAAAATATTTTTCAGGTCTACCAATTCCATTGTGGCCAGTGGGAGGAAATGTTCCTCTAGTGGTGGTCAAAGTGCCACCTTTATAGACAGCTAAAATAGACCATTGGTGTCTTGCAGCTAGCTCTGCAAAGAAATGATGGCACCATTGAATTGGAGATAAATCAGCCACAGCTCAAGGAATCCCTAGAATCTCCAGAGAAACCGTGGTTGAGAATGGCTGCCTTAAAATATATCTAAATCCAGAAACAAATGTACCTTTTCGCAACTTACCAGTCTTTGTATGTGGTGGCTGCATTCATTTTTTTCAGGCTAAAACGATTTTTTTCAGTAAGTACAGAAAATACCTGTTGATCTGGTCATAAATTTTGTGTCCTTGTCCCTTTACGACCGCTCAGCAAAACAATCTAAGCTTTTTTTTTTGTAAACCGCTATTCCCATCAGCCCTAATATAATGGAGAACAAATTTGGTTTGAACTCTAGCCTGATTGGAAACCATGGCTCCCTCCATGAAGTGGAGGAAAAAAAATGTAGCCAACCAGGACAGGCAGTATATTATTCATAGGACCACTAGGTGAAAACTTGAAAAAACCCTGAAAAAAAGAAAGCCAAATCTAAAAAGGACCTTGACATATTGTAATCACCAGTGATTGAGTATTGACACAAGTGTCAGGAACAACCATAAAAGCCAATTGACAGGACGAAGGTGTGATTTATAGTGGTAACCCTTGGCCAATCACCGGCAATTTTTGGTTGTGTACTAAAACCACCTGCGTAGTATGGACCTTATGTGGTGCATTTTATAATGTCACAAAGTATTTGGTCACACAGTTCCAGATCCCTGCCATATAAATTGTTCTATAGACCAATGGTCTGTGGTATAACCTGCTCATCAACGGGGAATTTGAACAAAACCAGTTCAGGTGTCATCTTATGTCCATAGGTACCTTGAGAGACATTTGTCCAATTATCTAGAACAGCATTTCTCAACCTTTTTACTCCAGAGAAACCCTCGAAAATGTAAGATTTTGCAACCCACCAATTTTAAGTAAGTAACCCCAATGTCTTTTAAACCACTGTAATGACAATGGTATGAAATTAAACTTACTTCGTGTTTTTCAGGAAGCAGCTTGAGGAATTGTTTTAGTACTTCAATATCAAACTTTGACCGATCCCCCTTCTCAATCATGGAAACAACTACTTCATTGGAGCTACAAAGCAAGAAAACTTTTATTGAGTGGAATGCCAAGTTCTTGGAGAAAATAGAAATCCTCTCTTGCCAAGGGGCTGTCCCTACATTGCAAGGGTGAAGGTAAAACTAAAACTCTTGTGATACCTACCTCTGCTTTAATGGTCCAATGCCAGCAAGGGAGCCGGTATTCAGCCGTCTTGATTGGCCAATGTGGGATGATGTCAATCCTGTGCATGTGCAAGAATTCAGTCATCCTAGCACACAAGCAATGTGTCGGAATGTAAACTGAGCTATGCATGTGTGGCCCAGTGTACGTTTTAAAGAAGACTTCAAGCAGCCTCACATAACTGGGCTTTTTTCCGTGGGGCCACACATTTGCGTACTTGCCTTTGTGCTGGGAGTGCGCCACATGGTCAATGATGATCAGTGCTACCCACCTGTGTCCAGCAGTGCCACCCACAAGTGGCAAGCAGTGCCACCCATCAGTGCCACCTATCAGGGCTGCCTCATCAATGCACATCAGTGAAGAAAAAAAAATTACCTGTTTGCAAACTTTTATAATAGAAACAAAAGGAAAACTTTTTTTTTCTCAAATTTTTTTGCTCTTTTTTGTTTATACCACAAAAAATAAAGATAGACCCAGTGGTGATTAAATACCACCAAAACAAAGCTCTCTTTGTGGAAAAAAAAAAAAAAAAAGATAAAAATTTCATATGGGTACAATGTCACATGACTGCGCAATTGTCATCCAAAGCTTGACAGCGCTGAAAGCTGAAAATTGACCTGGGGTATAAGTGCCCGGTAGGCAAGTGGTTAAATATGAAGTAAAAGAAAAAACTGATGTCAAGCTATATTTGGAAAAAGGGTATGGAGCATACTGAACTGTGGCATTGTCAACAGTAGCCCAATTTGCTCCAGGTTGCAAGGTGACTATAAAAATCTGCTATAAGGCATGTCTGGTCATTAAACGTAGCATGAATTGACTATAAAAAGCGGGGCTAGTTCGTCTCTGCCCGGAGAAGGACCTTAGGATGCCAACAATAGCAGCCTACATATTTGTCTCAGTACGGGTTTTTCTCCAGCTTCCAGTTGAAAATATAGTGTGAACATCTTATCTGACTATGCACAAGCATTGTCCACATTGCTTGTTATACAGAGGTTTAGAAGACAAGATGTAGATTTTAAGGCATCTATGTAAAGGACAATTAATGGCCACAAAGAGTTATTTGAATTAGATTTGTGTAGGTCTGAATATTTTAGCAACAAAATAAAATGTAAAAGCCTACCTTTTAAACTGCTTCAAAAATATGTTCAAATTCAGATTTTTTTTGGAATCCAAAAAGGAAATCTGTGAAAAAAATAAGTAGTGAAATAAGAAAATGAAAGTGGAAAAAAATCCTGTTTTTAAAATGCCCCCCCCCCCCCCCTCCTACCTATCCTGCATAGCTTGTAGAAAATGATCTAAAATCTGGTCCGATCAAGTCAACTAATCCTGTAGCTTAGTGTCCCCTGTGTAAGTGAACAGTAGCAGCAGGGGATAGGAAGGAGTGCTGACAACGCTGGGCCAGAGAAACCTATGGGCAGGGGTGGACTGACCATTTGGAAACTCGGGCACTGCCCGAGGGCCCGGGGTCAGTAGGGGGCCCCATGAGATGCCCCTGGTACCTTTTGCATAGGCTTTTTTGAGTTTGGGCAAGGACACAGGGGCCCCATGATCCCCTATTGCCCGGGGCCCCATGAGTTGTCAGTCCGCCCCTGCCTATGGGTGATGTCACAGCTCCTGGAATAAACAGCTGTTGCCAAGCATTCCCTTACATGGGGAAGCGGGGCTTCCAAATCATGTCACTGGACCAGATTAAAAAAAAAGTAAAGTATACAGATTTGTTTTATATAGGGTAGACAGGATAGGTAGGAGGATGGTGGAGGGAACATTTTAGGAATAGTTCGTGTTAAGCTTTGCATCCACTTAAATGTTGCACACCATTCTTTGAAGTGTTTGGGGTTTACCCTAAAAATTATACCTCTTTTGGTGGCTTATTAATCGGCATAGATTGTTTGTCTTTTTCTTTGGCTTGAGGAAGGCAAAAGAGCTGCTCAATGCTGGAATAGTTGGGTTCTGGAGTTTCTTCATAAGTGCTTACTGAAGACCACATTGACTGTCCATCTAAAAGAGATATAGAAAAGTGCAATAATTCATAACAACCAATCAACCACGTTTCGCTGGTCTGCTTGCTCTGGATTGATAAAAGATTAGAACCGATTGGTAGACTGTCACTGGCTTTTTGCCTAACAACTTAAACAGATCAAAAACAATAGAAGTTGTGCAGACAAATTCTGATAGCACATCTGGCTGCCGTTCAGTTTACGCCTATAGAGAGATGTGGAGAAAGCGAAAGACACTTCCAGTGCTGCCTTATCAAGAGCAACTAGTAGTGATCATGCAATTTTTTTTTATTTTTAAAAGCTATACTCCAGGCAAACAGCTAAATACACAGAATAAATAATTTTTTTTTAAAACAGGATTTATTACCATAAACACAAAGTGTACAGCAAAAGATACACAAAGCATGTATCAGAATACATAAATTTCAATGCATGCTAACCTTTCCATACAGATAGCATCAAATGGGGACACAGGTACATACAGCATTTTTGGTATAAAAGAAAGGCAAAACAAAACATTTTGGAGCAAACCACTACCCCCGTTCTAATGCTCTACTATGTTCCAGTGCAGCAAAGAATCAATCATTGATAGTGGGTCAACAGTCAGTATGTTGTACACACACTATTATCTCTCCCCCCTCTAAGGGCATTCTGTCACTGTGTCCAATGAATACACCTATCTAGACCATATTCTAGTAATTTTTTTCAGGCACCCTCTAGCCTCATATGTCATCCCATATAAGGGGACATTGGAGTTGACCAAGTTATTCCAGGCTGTTAGGTTAATGGTATCGGTCCATATCCAATTTCAGATTGAATACATTTAAAGGAAGCCATTTTACATGCAATAGGGTTTGTATTTCTTTCTATCCAGCCCTGAGATTTATACGGCTCTGCCACACAGCACAGCCCTGTCTGATAGGGGAGGAGACCTGATGTTTTTCTGCTGCCAATCAGTAAGAGATCTTTTCCCAACCCTTACGGAGGATCTCATTTCCTGGAATTTGGGATAGAGTGGGGAAGGACAGTTTTCCTGATTTCTGTTCTTGTAAAACATTGTCTGCAGGATAGGAAGTGAGGATAGATTTCACTAAAAGATTCCTGGATAGCAACAGGAGTTCTAAGCCTTCTAAAACACCATCCAAAACAAGGAAAAAGTTTTGGATAGAGATACCTTTTAGCTATTTTATAATGAAAAAAAGTTTGAAAATCACAGTTTGAAGCATACAGGAATAAAGTGGCACTTTTCTATTTTGCTACATGCAGCTAGATACTTGTATCAAGTTGAAGCCCTGGAACTTTTCAAAAGGTCTTACCTTTGGCAACGTTAGGAGGTAATTTCTGCCAATTCAGTTTCTTCATTTTTATTGTTGGCCTGTTGACCTTGAAGCAAGCTGGTTTTAAGAATCCCAAAGAATAATCCACGCGGGCAACTACAACTTCATCATTGAAGCCTCCTGGAGGTGGTGGAGGTCCCATACCAGGAAATGGGGGAGGTGGTGGTGGGATGCCTCCCATGCCAGGAAATGGGGGAGGAGGTGGTGGGGGGGGGAATGCCTCCCATGCCAGGAAATGGGGGAGGTGGTGGTGGGGGAATGCCTCCCATGCCAGGAAATGGGGGAGGTGGTGGTGGGGGAATGCCTCCCATGCCAGGAAATGGAGGAGGTGGTGGGGGTGGTGGCATGCCTCCCATGCCAGGAAATGGGGGAGGAGGTGGTGGTGGTGCTGGCATGCCTCCCATGCCAGGGAATGGAGGAGGTGGTGGTGGGGGGATGCCTCCCATGCCAGGAAGTGGGGGAGGCAGCGGAATGTCAGGAAGTGCAATACCCCCTGTGCCATGCACAGGAAGAGGAGGCGGCGGTGGTGGAATACCTCCCATAGCAGGCAAGGGAGGCGGAGGTGGAGGAGTTACTTCTGCAAGGGTAGGTGGTGGAGAAGGAAATGAGTTCATGCCTGGGAAAAGAGATGACATCTCACAAAGAGGAGGAGGTGGTGGTGGTGGAGGTGGTGATGGAGTAAACTGTACATCAGCACCAAGGGATGGAAGAAGGGCAGGTGGACTTATAGCTAGAGGGACATGGGAAGACATCTTTCCAACCTTCTGAACATCCTCTGACGGTTCAACTAATGCATCTGCTAGAGATAAGCTGTTCATTTCTTCTTTGCTGGAGTCATACATAGGTTTTTCTGTCTGTATGCTTACATGAACTGTCTCAACATTTTTATCTTGGCTCTTCTGTTTGCTTGGGTGTTTCTTTGAAGTTAAGAGCCTATCCATAACTCCCTCAAGGTTGCTATCTTTACCTGTCAAAAAAAAAAAAAAAGTATATTTATGATAAAAACACGGATAAAAAAAGTATACATACAGTATGATAATAAACTGATAAAAGAGGAGCCACTCTTAAACTATCAGAGAAACTTTGACCTTATGTATACTTTTACACCAAGGTATCATCTGTGGCAGTAATCTATGGCTTGTTCTTGCTTTATCATTTCACTGCCAAATCTACAATCATACAGCATATCCCTCTTCTTTATTAGGAGGTAACAATTAACCATTTCCACCCCTTCTCTAACCATTCTTCACTGTTTCTCACCTGCTCCTCTAACCAATATAGAAAGAAAAAGATCGCATATTTTGTTTGCCATGATTCCTGAATAACCTGTAATACTGAGTAGCTGAAATTCCAGTAGCTCATAGTAAATGTCCATTACTAACAATACTAATGAAGCAGCCATGACTGATGCATATTTTTATTTTAACAAGTAACCTTTGGATTCCTGCTCTACCTATATGTTTATGGTCAGTGACTTACTATATAGGAGTTGTAACTATTAAAAAAAAAAAGTTCTTAAAATATGAATCAACTCCCACATTTCCTAACAGATCCCCTTTAAAATACGGAATCAGGATAAATGTAAGCCCTGATTTTTTTTTTACATTAAATTTTTATTGAAATATAGTAAAATATACACCGTGCAAAGAATATGAAGAATAACTTCAGTTTCCATCCATAACATTAAGAAAATACAATATATGCAGCATAGTATAGCCAACCTAGTCCTTCACATAATAAAAATATCCGTAACCAGTAATCTGATAATTAGGTCAATCTCTAAGGAACCTGTTACTCCAAGTGGGATCAGAAGCTAATATTTTACTATGTGAAGTGTCATTAGAAAGGAAAATAAACAACAGAACTGGAAGTTGTACAGAATTACAATTAATGGTCTATAGTGTTTACCACTTCTCAAGAGAACTTTAGAAATGGTACTATGTAATCTAGCATTAACTCAAAATGGCATTGTGTGTTTAATCTTTCAATCACATTAAATATATTGGGGGTAATGTCTGATTTCCAATGGTTTGAAATAATAAGTCTCACAGCGATAAGGGAATTCATTCTATATTGAGCAGGGTAATTATCTATAACAGCCCAATATTGCTGTATCAGGTGTAAGATGTTGTATTATCCCTGTGAGAGAGAGGAAATAATATCTTATGTGTGCTAAGTTTATGTGCCTAAAAAGTCCATTAGCAATTTTCAATATAATCATTCTTCAATTGGGATGTGGCACTATGACATTTTCTTGGGTGTGACCTTTAACCACCCGAAGGTCGCCCAATCTCTTTTTATTCAACTTTAGAATTAGCAATGAATAATAGCAGAGACTACCAACAAAGAGTAGTTTATAAATATGGGACCATTCTTCATGGACTTGGTTACAGCTTTACTTTGTCCATTCTAAGATTAAGATTGATCCTATGAAATTGGGAGGTGTACAAATGTCAATGAAAGATACCGGTGGTAATATTTAATTAGTCACAGGCTTAGGAGTTCCTTGGAGGCAGGATGAGGAATTCCAGAGTAGGATCCAAGCAGCTAAAACTTGAAAATGCTGTATAGTTGTTAGTCTTTATGATACCTACAGTCATCTGCAAGCAGTACAGCTCTGTTCACCAGGAGCTCCAGGGCCTCCCAAAGAAGGGCACTTGAAGGATGATTAACATCGAACTGCAATAGGCCCTGCAGAATAAAGAGAAGCTGGGCCGATAGCGGAGAACAGCTGATCTGAAAGATACAACAATTTAAAAAAGTGAAGCATTGTACCCAACTATAAAACAAAGATAAAAAGCCTATATTAAGTAAATCCTTTGTACATTTGGGCTTGCAACCTCTTCTGGTTACTGACTAAAAGGATCAAGGCAACCAACAGTATTAATAGAACCAGGAGAAAAGAGCTAAAATAAAATATACACTTCCTTAAAATGCACTCAACATCACAGGATGAGGAAAGAGTTCCAAGATGGACAATGTTTGTAAGGTAGAAAACAGGTGAACATTCATTATTTGGAATGTCCAAAAGTGATCAGGGTAATGCATAAACGTGCAATGAGTTACAAGGGAACTCCAATCAAACATGTAAAAACAGTTGAAGTACATATGTAGTTACGGTTTATCTGCCATACAGTTTGCAATGTGCTACTCACGCCTACTTTGCCATTTGGTTGTAGAATAAAAAGAAGGGGGGCAATTCTAAACAGCATGGCCCATTACCCAACCCCCAGATTCTTATATGTGATGTTGGTACACATCATTGCCCTAACGACATCTACAATGACCACTCTCCCAATTGCAAGCTCACCAACATATCTCCTACTCCACAGAACAAACACACTTCAAACCTGACCTCAACTTGCACATAGCATGTTAACAGCTAGTCATACAACCAACTGGACTGAAAGATATTTCTGCATTATATTACGGACACACAAGCAGATTTATATATCTTTGCTGGAGTTGCCTTTCATGCAACTGCTTGTTGAAACATACTTTGTTGAAGAGTGTAGAGAAGACCTCTTGATGATTGTTCATATCAATTCCTCCATATAGCTTGAGAAGATCTTCATCATCTTCTGACTTGGCTTCTTCAAAGACACAGACCTGCACTAACAAGTCATCATCCTCTAAATCTCTGAATAACAATAAAAATGGGTCTAAGATTAGGCTTCATTAATAACAGTTATAGTACTGAAGACCTTTGATTCATGATGAGAAGGTTTGGTTGATGGGTTTAGTGTAAAATCTACTATTACATTGTTAATAGTAAAGAATCTACTTACACAACGCGGAGCTTTCAGTTATAGTAAATGCTACTTGGTTAGAATGCACAATAGCTTTAAGGTGGCAACATTTCACTGTGTTCATTGTAATGTGAAATAATGGCAGGAGGCAGTGCCAAAACTTGGACATTCATCTTTCCAACCGCCGTGAATCCCCAAGAGATACAAGAAGTCATTGGGTGATTTAGCTTTGCAGTCTCCATCAAAAATGGTATATTGGTTATGGTTGGATGGTCCAAACATAGCAGCTTACGAAGATAACCAAAGGGGGTTATTTCAGGGATAATTTACTAAAGAATTAGAGTACTCCAGCCAAACCTTAGCTAGTCTTTTTACTCAACAGAAAAGCCAAGCAGCAGCAGAGGAGATTAAGTTTAGCTATGCGATTATGTGGTTGAGCTACACCATTTGAATTTGGTTGAGTTTGCTATGGGGGCACCTGACAGGAGGGAGGGGCCAGGAGCACTGCTAGGGGACCCAAGAAGAGGGCTGCTCTGTGCAAAACCACTGCACACAGCAGGTAAGTATGACATGTTTGTTATTTTTAAGAAAAGAAACCCCCAAGACTTTAGTATCACTAAGAGTGGAATTGCGGTTCGCTTGAGCTGCCAAAAATCATTTTTTAAAATAATACAATATACCAGCCGAAAGTAAAAAAAACTTTTAAAGGTAAAGGCAAGCAAAATATTAAGTATTTCCCAATATACATTTAATAAAAGCAGTAATTTTTTTTATTATTTTTTGTTCTAAAGGTTTATTATTTATTTTTGAATATTTTATATAACTTTTTATATTGTTTTATATTATTTTTGTATAGAGGGGGGCCCATTCTGTCAAGGGAGCCCAGGACAGTTGCCCCTTTTTGCCCTTCCCCCTTAGGGCTAGTTCACACTGGTTTGAAAGCAGGCGTTTAAGGGACGTTTTTAAAGCTCCTCAAACGCCTTTGCAAATGGTAACATGGGCAGCACACAGTGCTGTTCACATTATCAAAACATGAAGCATTAGCGTTGTGTTGCTTCAAAACTGAAGCTTCATGTTGAGTCAGGAGGAATTGAAGCCTTTCAACGCCTCCCATTCAAGTCTATGGTGATGCTCCTCAAGTGCACTGGCAGGCTTTGCGAGGCATTTGCGGTGTGGTTGCAGAGCGTTAACATCACAGTTTAATTTGTGATGTGGTTTTAATGCTTGTCAAATGCTTCTAAAATGCTTCAAAACTGCACATACGGCATTTGGGGAGCGTTTTTAAAGCTTGTAAAAAGCCAGTCTAAAGCTCATTGACATCTAACGCCCATACTAAAGCTATAGGAGCATTTGGTAAGAGTTAGAAATTTAGTCAAGTGTGAACAAGCCCTTATAAATTCGGCACTGGGCCGACATGCTCCTGCCCCTCCCTTGTAACCCCAATGGGCTTCCACAGTTGCCAATAGAAAGGCAGATAGAATGGTTAAACAAACCCACAGGTTTTCTTTAAGGCTCCATGAACACTGGGCATTTTGATAACGCTGGTCACATTAGCTGTGCATAGTCATGCCAAAAACGTGAGTTTTTCAGCGATTTGTAGCATTTTTGCATTAGCATTTAGCGGCACAAAAAAAGGTCCAAAACGCTAGTTTGCCGTGATTTATCGCCATTTGCCACTTTAGAGCGTTTTTCCAGCTAAAAAACTCCTCTAGAAACCCACTAGTTCTAGGTTTTTTTTCCAGCCAAAAAAAGCTGATAACAGTCTATGTGTGCATGGACACATAGGATAACATGCTGGGGAGTTTACTGGCTGTTATAAAAAATGCCAAAAGCCAAAAACAGTCACTGTAAAAACTTCCAGTGTGCATGAGGACTTGGGCTCCATGCACCCCAGATTAAAAAAAAAAAATGTTTCTAGAGGAGTTTAGCATTTTTCCTGTAGAAGCAACTGTTATCCTATATGTGTATGCACATTAGGTAGTCTAGATGTGTTTTTTTTAACTCAGCGTTTAGTGGCAGGAAAAAAAAAACCTTTAAAACTCAGTGGGAGGGCCACATGACAAGGCCGGGTTGGCTGGATTTGGCCTGTGGGCCTAGTGTTTGATATATGGCCTGTAGAACTGGCTGAAAGCTCATCTCCCTGGGGGGTGAGATAGATCGGAGTATTTCTTAGCAAGAGATACAGCGTTTAGCGGCAGGAAAATAAAAAAAACTTCCGTTTTGCATTTTTTAGAGCTTTTTGTGGCTCTTAAAATCTAGAACAAAAATGCTCAAAATTAGGTTTTTTTTCTGCCAAGAGCAGAGTTTCTTTTAGGCCAGTGTGCATGGAGCCTAAAACAAGATGGCTCCTACATATTACTCATATCCTACATAAACTCTTCTGCCCTCAAAGGGCTGATTATATCTGGGGTGTGCTACATACAGAGTTCAGGAGTATGCTATGTAAGAGGGCAGAGTTCAGGGGTGTGCTACGTGTAGAGTTTAGGGGTGTACTACTATGCAGTGTGCAGTAAATCTCGCGCCCCCCCCCACTTGGCCCCAGCTTTAGTAATTACCTACTTAGACGGCTCTAGTACCGCCCTGTGTTGGTAGCTCTCGCTACTACCCATGTATTTGGCCCTGTTATACCTCCCTGTGTAGGCGGCTGTGCTTCATCTTGTAGGGAGATTGTTCTGGTTCTCACATTCTGGAGAGCTGTCCCCGCCATGGCCCACCGTGAGGGATCTGTTATATCTGGAAGCCGCTGAAAGCAAAGCTGTCCCTTATCAACACAGAAGAGTTCTATGTTTACAAGTGAAAGCGGAGGGTGAGAGCCAGAGGTGGAGGAATGGAGTTCTGCCACGTTCTGGATTTAAAACTCAGTGGGAGGGCTACGTGACAAGGCTGGGTGGGCTGGATTGGGCCTGTGGGCCTAGTGTTTGATATATGGCCTGTAGAACTGGCTGAAAGCTCATCTCCCTGGGGGGTGAGATAGATCTGAGTATTTCTTAGTAAGAGTTACAGACACTGCTGCTATCCAATGTTTCTAGGCTTGTTGAATAGCTGCATTGTGGTTCCTCCTGCCACTATTCTGTGTTGTAATGAGGGGGTCAGTGGGAGGAACCAAGACAAGCAGCTGAGGACATGCCATCCCACACCGGTAGCTTAGAAACATAGAAAAGTGATGGCAGAAAAAGTCTACTGAATGGTCCATCAAGTCTGCCCGTTTTTTTTAATTTTTTTTTAAATTTTATTAACTTTTTGTTTGAGTATAGATCTATGTTTGTCCCCACCACGTTTAAAGCCTTTTACTGTTGACTGGCTCACTACCCCTCTTCCCTCCCTGCCCCTCCAACAGGTAGGCATCAGCCAATTCTTCTACAGTGTGCCACTGATAGAATATTTGTAGGATAGTGACAGGATGGCTTTAACTTGATCACTTCCACAACAGACAAAAAATTTATAAGCAGCATAATACTTATAATTTAAAAAAAAAATTTTACCTTAATTTTGTCAACACATCCAGCAGCTGAAGACCTGAAAAGTACAGAAAGATTTAATATTTCTCCTTTTTGGAAGGAAACTTTATATTATCTTATCATAAATAGCAGTCCTCCGCTAATCCCTCTCAGATATAGGTGACAGCCAGGGGCGGACTGACAACTCATGGGGCCCCCGGACATTAGGGGATCATGGGGCCCCTGTGTCCTTGCCCAAACTCAAAAAAGCCTATGAAAAAGGTATCAGGGGCATCTCATGGGGCCCCCTACTGACCCCGGGCCCTCAGGCAGTGCCCGAGTTTCCAAATGGTCAGTCCGCCCCTGGTGACAGCTATTACAGGATAGTATTCCTTATACATAAGTATTTATTTCAGGTACTTAGTCAATTTATGCAGTGCTTTTACATATACTGTACATTCACAGCAGTCCCTAATCTTCAAGGGACGTACGATCTAACTTGCATTCATACATACACACTAGGGCCAATTTAGACAGGAGCCAATTAACCTACCAGCATGTCTGTTTGAGGTTGGGAGGAAACCCACGCAGGCGCAGGGAGAACATTCAAACTCCAGGCAGGTGGTGCCGTGGTTGGGATTCGAACTAACGACCCTAGTACTACCAGGAGGAAGTGCTAACCATTTAGCCACTGTGCTGCCCAAGCATCACATTCATAGGATGTTCTTGCCTGCAGCAGCCTGTTTCTATTGGTTGTGACCGTAGATCAAGTCTGATAATTACATCATCAGATTGCATTTGTAGGAAATGCTGTATATTACGTCTGTATATCACTATGTGCCTCATACACACTGGGTGTTTAGTTCCAGCGCATGAGGCTCCAGAGTTTAGATGCGGGTGGAAGGTACAGGCAGTTTTTGTGATTTAGGCTTACCCGGATTAAATATATTACAAAAAGAAATGGATATGGCACTTGGTAGTGTAAATATTTGTATGCACATGTACTGGTGTAGAAATGGATACTCTTGTATAATTCTGTATATATCTCCTCTGTGGCCTCATGCACATTGGGCGTTTAGCCCACAGGCCCTTTCTCACTGAAAAAGCACAGTAAAAATGCATATGCTTTTTTTTTACAGTGATTTTTATGTGTTTGCAATGCATTTTTGGTGTGTTTTCTGGACTTCCAGCATGTCCTCATGAATCTTGGACATGTGACTCAAAAAAACCATGGATGCATTTCTATGCATTTCCCATTCATTTCAGTGGGTAGGTGCATTTGTGATGCACAAAAAATGCAGCATGCCAACTTTTAAAAATGCACCTTACCTGCAGCGCATTGGTGTGAAGAGTTCCATAGGATTTGAAGGGATACATTTTTCATGCATATTTTTCATGCTTTTGAAGCACATCAAAATCTGATCAGTGTGAAAGGGCCCTTAGGCCTCAAGTGCACTGGCCGTTTTTACAGCTGCTCCTAGTGGCATCAGGTGGGTTTTATTTCTGCCTCTAAACTCCCCTGCATGCTATCAGATGTGTTCATAGACACACAGGAGTTTAGTGGCAGAAAAAGAAAGCACTGCCAGGGCATGCAGGAGTGTCTTGGCTGTAAAAACAGAAAAAGACACTGGATGAAAAACAGACTTATGTTTGGCTTTACATTAGGCATCCTTCGACCCAGCACAATTAGGTCCAAAAAAAACAGAAAAAGACAGTCCTTTTCTATTTTTGGTTTTCTGACCTGGATGGACACAAGTCTATTCAAGTATGTGCATCTGCCTGTCCATAGACATGCACAGAGCTTCTGAACAGGTCTGCCTGAAAAACCATTACGTGGACCTGATTGGAAAGCCCACATGAAAGGGCCCCAACAGTACTAGCATAGTGCAGTATGCTCCAAGGGATGAATGTCTAGAATTCAAGTAGTCTACTTGATGCGCTTAAATGAAGGTTAACTCTAGGCACGTTTAGCACTTGAGCATGAATTTATTTCAATAGCCAGAATAAATTATTTATTCTGGCCAATGAAATGAATAAACACCCAAACGCTTGATGCGGGTAAACGTACTACACACTTTTACAAGCGTCAAGCGTTCTTTTTGCCAAAAGGCTGCTGGCTTCTAGGGGAGTTCAAATAATTGTCAGTGTGCATGAGGCCTTAGGTACAGGTAGAAAGTAGAGGCGCACCATCCAGCCCCCCCTGCTGGCAACTTGTTAAATGCCATGAGAGGCTGACAACTGTTGCAGCTGGACGATGCACCTAGGGGCTATTTCGCTCCATTCAGCAGAGGATCTGTGATCACCTGCTGAACTGGAGCTGAACAGTACAAATGTCAGGTTTTTTATTTTTGTTTTCACATCTGTGCCCTTTCAGTTTGTGTTATACAGCAGGCCTGTGATGGGTCAATAGGTGGCTGGATGTAAACAGACTTGTGTGGTTTTTACAATAGGCAACTTTTGACCCAGCACATTTAGGTCCAGAAAACAGAAAAAGACGCAGTCCTTTTCTGTTTTTTTTTCGAACCTGGACGAACACAAGTCTGTTCAAGTATGTGCATCCGCCTGTCCATAGAGATGCACAGAGCTTCTGAACAGGTCTGCCTGAAAAACCATTACATGGACCGGATTGGAAAGCCCACACGAAAGGGCCCCAACAGTACTAGCATAGTGCAGAATGCTCCAAGGGATGAATGTCTAGGATGCAAGCAGTCTGCGTTCCGGGTACTCAGCACATACTGCCCAATGACCATCCAGCCGCAGCAGCTGTCAGCCTCTCAGAGTGTAACAGAAAGAAAACAGCATATTTATGAAAACTGATCAAACACATTTAGCCTTGGTTCACAGCCGTGCAGGTTTCCCACACCATTTTCAAATCGCACTACCCTTGTGCCCAATCACAAAGTGGAACTTCACTCTTTCAATCAACATTGACTATTTTTAATCCTTATGCTGCTAGCATTAGTAAATATATATATAGGAAAGTAGATCAAATTTACTTGTTTTAAAGTATTTCCTTACATTTCTTTAGTTACTTGCCTAAGCAAATGATCTCATACATCCCAGGTGTCTTCTGGGGGTGTTTTCTCAGCTAAGCACACCCTCCTGTTTGTATGCCTCAGCTAAGAACAGATGGATTCCAGGAAGTAAATGCTACATGAATCTTCTGCCCTTACTCAAGATGGCCACAGCCAGAAATGCTAGGGGGTGTATTTCCAAGGTGTTTTTTTTTTTTTAAAATAAAGCATGGAGACATGGATGAATCGGGGAGTTTGATCTGAATATTAAAATTGAATAATTAGCATTTCTGATTTGTGGTGCTCAGAAGCAGTGTAGTTGCACTTTAACGTCACCCCAAATGCGTTGGCTTGCACCGGATCACATGGTACAGAAGGATTATGCAATCCAGTTGCAGTGCGTTCCCCAAAAGAGCTGCATGCATGACTTTGTTGCAGATTCAAAATGAGTGGGCTTAAATCACACCGCACTGAATCGCATGTGAATTGCACAGCACATTCCTGTGTGATTCATATCCGATTCAGGATGCGAACCTAGGCTAAATACAAATCCCTGCTTAATACAATACACATGAACAAGCCCCGCACATGGTAGGCTACATACACACAGGCATTTTTATGCTTGGAAATGCTAGCCTGAAGAGCTCACATTCAAACATAAATGGATTGGTTCACAGCAGTTGCAGTTCAGTGCATTTTTTTTCTGCATCAAAAATGCATGGACAGTACATTATATGGGTTCCAATAGTATAGGAAACACTAGTGCAGTCAGTTCCAGTAGAGGGAAAAAAAAAAGTAGGACATGCTGCATTGTTTTCTGCATCAACAATGCATGGACAGTACATTATATGGGTTCCAATGGTATAGGACACAATAGTGCAGTCAGTTCCAGTGGAGGAAAAAAAAAAAAAAAAAAAAAAGTAGAACATACTGCATTTTCTTTCTGCACAGAACTGTACTGGAATGCGGCAAAAAGGCATAACAAACACACTGAAATGCATAAAAAAAAATGCATGGGAACACATCACATTAAAAAACACCAGGAAACCTTGGAATAAAAAAAAAAAAAAGTAAAGTACACTGGAAAGCATAAAAAATGTAAATGCATTAAAGCATCTGGAGCGTTTGTGGTGTGAACAGACCTTACGGAGTATGTAACTAGTACTTAGAGGGGTTAAAAGAAAAAAAAAAAGCGGTTTGAGGCTTAATAAATGCTTTGTAAGTGCTTACTTCATCTGATGCTTTCCAGAATAGAGTTTACAAGTAAATATTACAAATCCTTGTTTGTACAGAGGTAGAAGTCAGTGCCTTAACACACAGGTGCAACATGTAATAATAGCCAGCCATTTATATGAATTAATCCCAGCAAAAAAAAAAAAAAAAAACAATGTCAATTTTAATTCACAATGCGTTACTTCATCAATCACCAGCCATGAGCAGAACATATTCATGATTTCACATAAATCATCAATGAAAACCTCCCATAGAAACAGCAGACACAAACCTGTACCACCAAAGTCGCCTTTCAAGCCATCAACCCCGATACAACCGAGTTCACCTGAGCTGTTACAGAATGCAGGCAGGATGGGACCTTTAAACTGGATGGGAAATGTTCTCACGTAATGAATCTCTCAGCAGTTTTATTCTCCGTTTATCAGTTCATGATGGCATATTTCTCTTTCTTTAGCAAAACATTTGTTTTTAAAGCGGAAAAAATGTTTTATTTTGCATTTGTGCTCTGCTGATGGTTTTCCTTGGAGGGGATCAGGGGAAAATCCTGAGATTGGCAGCAGGTGATCATTAAGTGCATTGATTAACATGCCTGCATTTCAGTGTTTACCCTTCATTCTCCACTAGAGGGCGATGTTTGCCTTCAGTTCAATTGAAGGAGACCCAGGTTTGGGGAATTGCATTTAATGACAAATGTGCTTTGTGCTGGTTTTAGGATGTATTTATAATGGGGCAATAGTTAGTTGGCTGACCGTACACTGCATTTTCGCCAAGTTTCTAAAAACACATTAATTGACTGCATTCAGCAGCAGGTTCCCCCACATTCACCCAACAT